CTCACCCAGGAGGGAACTTCAGGTCCTTCCCACATCTCAGCTCCCTGGCCCTAGCTGCTCTGCTTAACACCAGCCCTTTAAAAATGGTTATTATTGCCCTAACCCATTTGGCTCAATGGATAGAGCATCGGCCTGCGGACTGAAGGGTCCCAGGTTCGATTCCAGTCAAGGGCATGTACCTTGGTTGCGGGCACATCCCCAGTGGGGGATGTGCAGGAGGCAGCTGATCGATGTTTCTCTCTCATCGATGTTTCTAACTCTCTATCCCTCTTCCTTCTCTCTGTAAAAAAATCAATAAAATATATTTTAAAAAAATAAAATAAAATAAAAATGGTTATTATTCATCACAACCGCTAACATGCTGGTCTGAAGCATCTGCATTTGAAGTGCGTCCAGATCCCCTAGTTGGAGACTATTAACACTAGATTGCCCAAGGAAGTCATTTTGACTGCTTTTTAATTTCAATTAGAAAAACAATTATGTATATAAGGACACAAGGTCTTAGAATTTTGTGACTTTTTGTACAACATATAAATGCGTTTATTAATAATTATAGTTACCTCCCCCTCCTTCATTTCTGGTATATATATATATATATATATATATATATATATTATACCTATATTGCCCAAAAGCAGTCATTCTGACTGCTTGGGAAATTTTAACTCTTATTATTGAATTGAGTAAATTTCTTATATGACCAGTTCGGCTCGGAAATGAAATAACAGTTTTCATTTTTTTTAGATTACCATCACATGATAACATACAAGTACATGATAAATTGTCGATACTTGATAAGTTGCAGTTGCTCAATAAGGTAAACTAGTACTTGGTATTCGAATCTTTATGCAGTGATACTTGTTCTAATAGGTTGTTTATTGTATTTCTTTTGCGCCCTAAATTCATGAACGAAATGTCGAAGAGAAGGGAGTTACTGGAAAAGCTAACGAACATAAGTGAAGAGTGCTCCGATATAGAATCAGATGCAGCAAATTCTGAAGTATCATCTGAAAATGAAGCGGATTATATTCAAAGTGAAACATCTGACACTGAAGATAGCGATGAAGAGTCGATCACCAATGATGAAAAGGAAAGTGCCATCAGTATGCCCAGGAAAAGGTGTAGGGTGCTAAGTAGTTCAGACTCTGATGAAGAAACTGAACACACCGTTCAGGAGACCGAAGCAGCTGCCGATGGTACTGTGTGGTCAAAATCTGACGAAGGTAGTATTCCTGGAAGGTTACCATGCACTTGTATTTTCAAGGGTGTGAAAGGGCCAACAGGCTACGCAAAAAGGAACATGATGGCAGATAATCTTATCAGTGCATTCTCGTTGATAATAGATAACTATATTATCAAACATACAAAGAAGTGCACAGAAGAAGAAGGCCACCGAATTTTGAGGAACGATTGGACAACATCATTACCGGAAATACGTGCATTTATTGGGATTTTATATGCTCGTGGAGCCTACGAGGCAAAAAATTTAAAACTCAGTTATTTATGGTCAGCAAAGTGGGGTCCCGAATTCTTCAGGAAAACTATGGCCAGAGAAAAGGTCAAGCAAATCCTACAATTTATTCCTTTTGACAGAAGAACCGAAAGAAGTAGGCACCTACAAACAAATAAGTTTGCCTTGGTTTCGGAAGTATGGGACAAGTTCATTGAAAAGAGTCAAGCTTGCTATCAACCAGGGCAAAATATAACAGTTGACGAGCAATTATTTCCGTCAAAAGCCAGGTGCAGGTTTACACAGTATATGCCTAATAAACCCAACAAATTTGGCATCAAATTCTGGCTTGCATCAGATGTTAGTAGCAAATATGTTTTGAATGGTTTTCCTTATTTGGGGAAAGATGAACAGCAACCATCGTCAATGCTTCTCAGTGAACACGTTGTTCTGAAACTTGTCGAGCCACATACAGGCTGTGGAAGAAATGTCACGACCGATAACTTTTTCACTAGCATGTCACTCGCGACAAAATTATTGGCCAAACAAACAACTCTAGTTGGAACTATTAGAGGAAACAAAAGAGAACTACCCAAAGCAGCCAAACAAACGAAGGATAACATGTCTCGTTTTTCCACGCTGCTATACAAATCAGAGAATTGTGTTCTTACAATATATAAAAGCAAACCAAATAAAAGAGTAGCTGTTCTAAGTTCTAGGCATAAATTTGTGAAAATTGATAAGAGTAATAAAAAAATGTTACCGGAATCTATTCAATTTTATAATAGCACAAAATTTGGAGTTGATATGGCGGATCAAATGGCCAGAAAATACACAGTAAAAGCTAGTTCTCGTAGATGGCCCCTCCAAATATTTTTCAATATTTTAGATTTGGCTGCTATAAATGCTTGGATCCTTTACAAAGAAACGACAGGAATACAAATACAACGAAAAGAGTTCTTGTTTCAATTAGCAGAACAGCTTTCCACCGAATACAGAGCTGCAAGACAGAAAAATTCATCAGAACATGAAGACCCACAAAGATCAACTGCAACATCATCAAATGCAACCCATTCTAAGAAACGCAAAATTTGTCAAGTACGACTTTGCCACAACAACAAAACAAATAATATATGTGAAAAATGTCAAAAGTATGTTTGCGGAAGATGTACACATAAAAAGATTTCCACTTTCATTTGCATGAAATGTACAAATAATAATGCATAAATTATTTTTTTTCCAAGTGAGGTACATTTTTTTGTTAATATTTACTAATACCTTGTTATATAACTGTAAATACTATACAAAATATTAAAAATTAATTTTAAACAAATTTCTTTACACATTAGTTATTCTTTCACATTGCAGTCATTTTGACTGCTTTTGGGCAATATAGGTATATACTAAATTTCAGTCTTTCTAGTGTTAAGAATGCTGCTGGGTGTTGGTTTTACACGGGTCTAGCAGCAAGGGTGCAATGACCTTTCAGAAACAAGGAAGGTCTGTCCAAGGTGACTGCCGCCGCGGCTAGAAACTGCAGTGCTCCAGCCCAAAGGGGGAAACGTCCCGCTCCAGGGCCCAGAGCCTCTGCTCCAGAGTAGGGGTGCTCACAGCTGTCCGAGGGAGCAAGGCTGGAGGCAGGACCAGCGTGGGGAGCAGAGGGGGGGTGCCGTCCAGGGGGACCCAGCTGCACCGGGCCTGGCTGACATTTCACGAGGCCTTGGACATGGCCCATCACTGGCCTACGTGGTCTCTGCTAGTCACCCCACGTAGTCGGGTCTGCAGAAATTCACACCTGGGGGAACCTCAGAGGGCAGCCGGTCTGTGTCGCTTACTTCACGATAGGAAAAACTGGGGCCAAATGGTAAGGACCTTGGTCAAGCCCACACAGTCAGACTAGACCCCAGCCCTTGATTCCGAACTAGGTTCTGTGTCGTCTCCAGTCGACAGGGCCCTCGGAGCAACTGGTGAGGGGCTGCCACAGGCACTTCGTCCACTTCCCTGAGAGCCTCCAGGTGACCAGCAGCACAGAACCTCCAAAAGGAGACTCTAGTCATGACCTCTTACATGTGCAAGATGCTCTGAGCATGTGGTCCTCGGAGACACTGCGCGGGTCAGGCTCCCTGGAAGCAGTCTTCTGACTCCAGCGCTCTCATCAGCCACCTCTCAGGGACCGATGGGAATCACCTGAAGGAACTCAGCAGGTCTGGCCTCACTGTGGCTGAGTGAGCAGTTGGGGCTACTTCCAGGAGCTCCCATATCCATCACCCAACTCCAAGCAGCAGCCATTGTCCGCAGTAGACGGGGCGGCTCAGCTAAGTCATTGCTATGCCTTTTGAGTTATGCTTCCTACAACCCTTGGACACCATGCTACCTTGAACATGGCTCGGGAAATGATGGAGGTCGCTGGGGGGCACCGCCCTGCTCCCAGCTGAGACCCCAATGACCACTCCGCACACCAACTGATGCCAACAGACCATTTATTCCACTCGGTCAGCCCCTGTGGTGTCCGTGGCCTACAGAAATATCCAGCCTGGATGACCACTTAGGCACAGTCTTGAGAAGCCTGGGGCGGCAGGAGGGAGGGGGAGTCCCTCCTGTCCCACTGCCTCAAGTAGGGATGGGGCCTGAGGCCTCCTATAGCCATTATTGCCCCGGAGGGCAGCCCACAACCCAATAAAATGCCCCCACTAATGAGTTCACGTGCCCCTCCCCTTTCACACCTCTCATCACCAGCCTCCAGCACTTGACCCAGCCAGCAAGTATGTGCTTAGTGTTGAGCCCAGCACCGTGCCAGACCCTGCTGGGTTCAAGAAAAATGGCATGACCTTGCCCTCAGGGAGCTCACAGTCTTGTTGGAGATTTAAGACACACTCACACAGACATCGCACAAGCATGTGCGCACACAGGAAGCTGGAGTGTAAGACGCACACAGTACCTGAGGGTGAGTGGTGTGCTGACAGACACGGTGCAGAGGAGGAGGGAATGTGAGCTGGGCAGTCAGGGAGGCTGGGCCTGGGGGAGAAGAGCGCTTAGTGGGACATTTCAGAGCAGTTCCTGGGAAGCCAGAGGCAGGAAGGAGGAGCCAGTTATGAGTTGGGGGGTGGGGCAGCGGTTAACGAGCTGACAATCAGCAGGGAAGGGGTGAGTCTGTGAGGCCCCCCCCTTGTCGGCAGAGAATCAGAGCGAGTAGAGCTCCAGGAGCCGAGAGTGCCCGCTCTTTCTCTGATCCCCCCAGAGTGGCTGGTTATCCCAGGACAAGGCACATGGCCGATGGGCCTCCCGACAGCCGTGACCAAACCCAGTCCAGCCCTGGAGCCCCACCCCCACCCCCAAACCCAACACCTACGCGCCCTCATTGCTGGGCTGTGATCTAAATTCAGTGACTAAAGCCCTGGCCACTATTGCTCAGTGGTTAGAGCATTAGCCCATGCATCAAAGGGTTGTGGATTCGGTTCTCAGTCAAGGACATGTGTGGGAGGCAACTAATTGATGTCTCTCTCACATCCATGCTTCTCTCTCTCTCTCTCTCTCTCTCTCTCTCTCTCTCTCTCTCTCTCTCCCCCCTCCCCACCCCCTGCTTCTACTCTCTCTGAAAAGCAATGGAAAAAATATCCTCAGTCAGGATTAATAAAAATAATAATAATGATAAATTCTGTGACTAAAGACCTCTCTCTACCCCCAAGGGTTTCCCTAAATATAACCAACTTCATGAAGTCTGGCTGCCATCAAAAACCCACCCAGCCCTGGTGGGTCAGGCCTTTTCTGATGGGCAGTTCATTGTAGGGAGGCCTGTAAGCTCGCTCCAGGCCACTTGCTCAGTTGTGAAGATCCAGGAGTCCGGCCTGTTCTAGTGGCCGCTTGGGACACACAGAAGCTTCTCTGCCAGCCTCTCTCCTTGCCTGGTGCCGGCTGGTCCCGGGATGGAGACTGTGTCCTCCCCAGCCCTCCCCACCCCATGCCTGGCGGAGGCTGAGGCTGAGGCTGAGGCCGGGGCGTAGCTGCTGCACAAAGGGTTCTGCTTCACCCAGCGTCCACGAAGGTCCAGCTTTTCCCATCGCCTTTATGGTGAGCTCAGAGCCCAGGCCAGGAGCCCAGGGCTGCACCAGCAGCCTGGTAGCCAGAGCCAGCAACCCTGACCCGGGGAAGGGCAAAGTCAGGCCGGGGAGCCAGCGACGTCTGCGGGAGGACTGAGGTTCCAGACCCTGATGCGCTGCTTCTTAGGCCTGAAAGAATAGAGTGACAAACAGGGTCCCCTCCTCAGAATTTTTTATTCCTGAACAAGGGAAGGAGGACCGACAGGGGAGGGCAGAATGCTACTGTGTGGTGGACCCTCGGGGCCAGGGAGGGGCAGGGGGTGGGTTGGGTCCCCGGTTGAGGTTCCAGCCTGGAGTCCAGGAGCTCCTGGTGTTGCTGGTAGATTCGTGCATCTACGTGGGAATGTGTGGTTCCTGGGGAGACGGTTCATCGCCTCTGTCAGCTTTTCCAAGGCCTCCATGCCCCCAAGTCTGGTAAGAACCTTCGCTGAAAGGCAGGTGAAGCCTGCAGCGTGGCTCACACCGGGAGGTCGTGCCCCTGGAGCCAGGACTGTTGCCAGTGTGCCGAGGCATCGGAGGCCAGCCACTTCCCACCTCTGGAGGGCCAGGCCCCGCGGGCAGAGAAGCCAGCTCTCCCCACAGGCACGGTCCCCGCTGCCACACGAGCGTGGAGGTCCATGGACAGGTGGCCAGGCAGCCAGGACGAGCTCTTCCCCAGCCACGACTCCCAACAGGTGCAGGGAGTCTCTCGCAGGGAACGGAACTGCCTCCAATTCTGGGCTCCACCGGTCCCCTCCGCTGTCACTGCAGGGCACCTCCCGAGGTAGGTCTTAGGGCGCATGTCCTCTGCCAGGTGCAGTTCCCAGGGTCTCCATCCTGGTTCCTGAGCCCAGATGTGCCTTGCATACTGCCCAGAGGTTCTGCCCACTCCGCATCTGTTCACAGACACAAAAAGTGCAGGGTCAGGGCTGAGGCCAGGACACAGCCCCGCCCAGCCCCACTCCGGAGGTAGGAGAGGGTCCTCGGGCTCAAGGATCACTCATCCATTTACAAACAAGATGACTTGGCTTCAGGGCATTTTGGTAACTGGTCCCAGACACCCCAGGTCCCCGTTGAATCTCTTAAGTGCCAGACCACACTGCCATAGCCACCTGAGGGTGGCAGGCAGAGGGCCAGGGTGCCCAGAGGAGCCACAAAGCTCTAAGGAAGGGCAGAGGGCAGAGCCAGGTCTCTAGCACCAAACGCCGCACTGGGCATGGAGCCAGGGCTCTGTGAGTGCAGGTCCTCTCCAAACCCCCCTTCTTTCCTGCCAACCCGCCCTTGTGGATGCCATGTCCATACCACCCGTTGATGCCCCTGCCCAGGCTCCTGCCACATGGCCGCGGGTCACATTCCTACATACTCGAAGCTCCATTTTCCTATCGGTAAGAGCCTCTCTAAGGGCGGTGGAGTAAAGATGAAGGGTCTTGGGGTCCAGAACCCAAAATAGGGCCCAGGCTTGCACTGCTGTCCCACTAAGTGATCTGGGGCAAGTTTGGACGAGCCTCAGTCTCCTCATCTGCCAAATGGTCTCAGAGCACCCACTTGGACTCAGAGGCCCTGGAGCAGAGGCCCTCACTGCATGACCTTGGCCACGCCCCTTAGCGGAGGGCCTCTGGCTCTGAGGAGCCCAAGACCCTCAAGGCTCCTGCTCGTCCCACTTGGATCTGTGCTCACAGGACCTCCAGTTCTTGAACTGCACATCTGAGGTCACTCTGCTCTTTTTGGTGCCCCCCCTCCTCCCTGGCCACAGTCCTTTGCAGGGCATATAGGAGCCCCCACTATCACCCCCCCCCCCAGTCCTCCTTCAACACTGCTCTCCCTAGGGCACCTCTATTCATCACCAGGACCCAATTCAAACCAACAAATGGCCGTGGGTGACACCAGTCACCACCACCCCATCCCACCCCCGACCCCCCACCACCAGCACCACCACCAGCACCTTATCGTCTGTCCCCTATGCTGGCCCTCATCACCCTGTGTGAGTACCAGGTGTGGCACCTCGGGGGACGAGGCCTGTGCCTGTGCCTCCTCTGGAGAACCCAGCCCAGCCCAGCACGGTGCCCAGCACACGGGGGCATTCAAAAATGGTCCGGACCGGCGACATCACCCTCTCTTCTCTGGTAATGGTCATTACAACCCTCACAACAGCCCTCATTTTTAGCCCCAACTTACAGATGAGCAAACTGAGGCATGAAGTGAAATGACTTGGCAAGGACACCGGACAGTGCTGGGGCCAGGCGGCTGTGCCTGGGGGCTGTGGACAGTGGCCCTCTCCAGGTTGCTTTCCACTCTGGCATTCTGGGAATGAAGATCTAGTAAGAAGCTGGTCACAGAGACCTCAGGCAGCCCAGTGTGCCGCCCCTGCCACCACCACCGTCCCCAGCGGACATCACCCACCCCCTCCCCACAAGCCTGAGAGGCTCCGGCCTGGGGTCTCACCTGCGTGCTGTAGGCCTGGCCAGCCTGCGGAGGGAAACCAGCGCCGGGATGCGCAGCCAGCCCGAGGGTCCTGAGAGAGGAGCCAAAGGAGGCCGCAGAGCATGGTGGCGGCCCACTCCTCCAAGACCCCCAGGCAGCCCCCCTCCTCTCCCGGGATCCCATCCAGGTGGGGATCCGCCGCCCAGGGCCACCTCCAGGGCTCAGGGACGCAGCTCGGGGGCAGGACACCGCGGGCGGCCGGCCCTGCGCGCATCACAGCACGCGGCCTAACTGGGCCGCCGCGCCCTCCAGGCCGTGGCCGTGGCTGCGCTGGTGGGCCTTGAGCGAGCCCTCGCGCGCGAAGCTCTTGCCGCAGCGGGCGCAGAAGTAGGGGCGCCGCTCCCCGAAGACGCCGGGGCGGCGGGGGTGCGGGGCGGGCAGGCGCGCGTGGGTGCGCTGGTGGTTGAGCAGGAAGCGCGGCTCGCGGAAGCGGCGGCCGCACTGCGCGCACTGGTGCGGCTTCTCGCCGCTGTGGATGCGCCGGTGCGTGAGCAGGTTCTGCTTGAGGCTGAAGCAGCGGCCGCACTCGGGGCAGGGGAAGGGCCGCTCGCCGGTGTGGGTGCGCTGGTGCACCTCCAGGTTGTGCTTGACGCTGAAGGCCTTGCCGCACTCGGGGCACACGAAGGCGGCCGCGCGGGCCCCGGCGTGCGCCTTCTGGTGCCGCACCAGGCTGGGCTGCTGCGAGAAGGTCTGGCCGCACAGGGGACAGCGGTGCGCCTGCTCCTCGGTGGGGTGGTGGATGACCAGGCCTCGCTCGTCCCCCAGACCCTCTTCCCTGTCCCCCGTGGGGGACCCGCCCCCCGGAGACGCCAACTCGGTCATGGGCACTTCCAGCTGTAATCACCAGCCCCTGGGGAGGCAGAAGCAGAGAGAGGAGTCAGGGGGGACCTGCGGGTCGGCCAGCCGCGGCCTCAGGAAGACCACTCCTCTGTCCTCGCACAACGTGCAGCATCCGCCCCTTGGCAGTCTTGTGGAAGCCAGTGTGCCTCCGCTGCATGCCCTTCGTTCTCCTCTACCCCTTCGGCACATCCTGCCCCTCCTTAGGCCCTTCTGGAGTGCCACCTCCTCCTGGAAGCCCTCCAGGAGCTCCATGGCCCAACCTTATGACCCTCACCCATCACCCTGCATACATGTCAGTCATGCCACCTTGTCTTCTCGCCTGTGAGCACCTTAAGGACAGAGCTGCCGCCTTTAATCCCAGCGCCAAGCCCTGTGCCTGCCGTACAAGGCACTGAGCAAACCCTGAGAGGTCAGATGCAGGGCCTCCTCATATTTATTGCCAGTTGTCCTGCACCGGGATGTGTCTTCTCTCTCCAACCCGCTTCTCACGGAGAGGGTCGGGAAGGGGCATCCTCAGTCTGGAGCGAAGGGTAGGGGAATGGGTTAAAGATATTTCTTGCAAAGCTTAAAAGAAGAAACAAAACAAAACCCCTGAAACTTGAAAGTAGCCTCGGCCAAACACTAAAGCAGCAGCCTTGTTTATAAAAATGAGGCTTGCCTATAAGAGGTTTGTTTGCAAGTCACTGACCCAGCATGTGAGCTCCCAGGGCAGCTCTGCTTCATTCCTCTTGGCATCCCCACAGCAAAGCCGGGCCCAGGCTGTGCAGCCCTCAGTACCCCACAAGCACCCCCAAGTGCGGCTCCATGCACTCCCGCTGGTTCTTCTAAGGATCCTCTCCCCCAGGGCACCGTGCTCCTCTTCAATTGTTTCCCATTGTACAGCCCTGAGGAAAGGGCAGGGCTCACTGAACCCCAATTTATAGATGGAGAAACTGCGGCCCAGAGAGGTCAGCGTACTTGCCCAAGGTCACACAGCAAGGTGAGCCAGGACTAGGCCTTCATTTCCTGACTCGCTGTCGAAAGCTCTTCTCAATGTATTAGCTAGCTGCTCTCCTCAAAACACACACATCACAAGACCAACCCCATCATCCCAGCCACCACAGAGCCATGATACCCAAAGGGCCCTGTCTGCTGCCATCACCCCCGGCCTCAGAAAACCATTGGGCTCCTGCTTCTGCAAGCTCTGAGGCCTGCCTGCTCCAGAGCAGCTGACCTGGCCACTCCCCTGCCTTCCCCCACCCCCATCAGGGGAGCTTGCTGGTCCTTCTCCGGGACCTCCATGCAGGCCTTCCCCACACTTCAGATCCCACTGCTTACTGCAACCTCAGTGAGTCTGCAGAGTGGGGCTTCAAAGATCCCCCTTCGGTCTCCCCGAACCCCGGGGCCAGGATGGAACACACCCTCACCCTGAAGAAGGGGACCAGTACTACTTGAAATAGACCCACCCCACCCACAAGTGTTCCCCCAGGCGGCTGCATTGACATGGCAAAGGCAGATCATCACAGTCCCCTTGGCCAGTCTCAGCCTGGCCTGGTCCCTGGGCAGCCTGCCCACTTTCCTCAGTTATACCCCCAACCAAGGCCCCGCTGGCTGAGAGGGTCCAAGGCCATGCCCCCCGCTTCTCCCCCAAGTTTCTCACCCCATCCCACACTCACAGCCCAGGCTGCGCCCCCGTTCCTCCCGTCTCCAGCAGTGCCTTTCCTCTAGTCCGCGCTGCCCACCGCAAATACGGTAACTCCCGCAGCGACTCCCGCGCCCCTTCTCTCTCGCCTCCGTAAAGATGGCCAGCTGCGCGCACCGGGGTTCTTACCAAATAGCTGCATTAGTCAGAAGAGCTGACCCCACCCACCCGACCCCCAGCACAACCCTGCCAACTCCTGGGGCCACAGTGATCCTGGAGAAATATGGTAAACTCTGCGTCGCAACCCCACCCCTATGAAAATACGTAGGTCTCCCCCCACCCCGCCCCCGCAACCCATCCCACCCCGCTGCAAGCCCCGCTCCCTTAGGGAATGAATGCAACCCACCCGCACCCCCTCCCACGGCGCTCCCCGGAATCACCCTGGATAAATACGTAATTAAGTCGCAGCGCTCCCCGGTCCCAGAAAGGGCCTGCGCAGCTCCCAGCAAATACGGTAGTGCTCCCGCAGTGACCCGCCCCCGGGGTCCGGCCCGGCCCGGCCCCGGTAAATACGGTAATCTCCCGCGGCCGCCGGCTGCCCGGGACTCACGTGGCGCCGCCTCCGGGCCTGCGTCCCCGCCGCGCAGCGGCCGTCGCTGCCGCCGCACAGCAGCCCCGTGAGGCCGGGAGGTCTAACTCGCCCGCAGCCCGGCCGCGGACCGGGAGGGCGGCGAGACCTGCGCCCGCCGCGGGGAGAGGGGCTGGGCTGGCGCGGGTTCCGGGCAGCGCACCCCCAGTCCCCAGGCCCTCCTGCCCCAGCCATTCCCCTTTCAGGGTTCCCGAGACCCCAATGTAGCAGTTAGCGCCTCATCCGGAGGCCAGGCTACCCTCGCCAGGCCCACAAACCTACCCCAGAAGCTAGGAAAAGGGTCCGGGAAGCACATTTTTCCCTGCAGGAGAGAGAAGGGGGTGGGGGCGAATGCAGCCCTTGGCGGAGGCTGGGGGCGGGGGCGGGGGGGGCGAGCTGGGGGGAGACAGCAGTGGGAGGCGCAGTTGACAGCTTCTCCAAAGCCTGAGCTCCTGTGTGTCCGGGTTATGCCACTAGGATGGGGGGGGGGGGGGCCACTGGAAGAAGAAATTACACCCCGTGGTCCCGTCCTCCTCAGAAGTGAACCCAAAGAAAACTCATAAAAGCGGGGGAAGCAGCTGGTGTGGACAGGGTTGGGCTGAATTCCAGTTTCCAACTGCCATTTCATAATAATTACTTATACAGGACTTGTCTCTTTACAGAGCCCTTTCCCATATATGATCCGGTGGGAGCCTGCTAATAACCATGCGCTGTCTAGGTTATTATCCCATTTTATAGATGGGAACATAAAATCAAACGGAAGCAGCGTGGCTTCCCCACAGCTGAGGCCCACAGCGCTGAGTGGTAGATCTGTGGGAAGGCAGGCCTGCCACCCAGGAACAGAAACCTGGTGTCATGGCTGGGACCAGAAGTCACAATGCCGTCCAGAGGGAGCAAATGCCTCCGAATTTGCATGTCACAGATAAAGAAGCTGAGCCAGGAAGGGAACGTGATTTTTTAAAGCTAAAGGTTCTAGAGCAACGGTTCTCAACCTGTGGGTCGCAACCCCTTTGGGGGTCGAATGACCCTTTCACAGGAGTCGCCTAAGACCATCGGAAAACACATATATAATTACACTAGAGGCCCAGTGCACAAAAATTTGTGCACTGGCGGGGAGGTGGGGGGGTGTCCTTCAGCCCTACTTGTGCCCTCTCACAGTCTGGGACCCCTCGGGAGATAACCACCTGCTGGCTTAGGCCCGCTCCCCGGGTCGCGCACAAGGCAGGGCTGATCCCGGGGCTGGGGCACTGCCCCGAGTCGGGTCGAACACGGGATGCCCGGACAGAGGCCGGGCGGGCTGGCCGATTGCTGCTGCACCGCCCGGCCGCCCCGGGTCCGGTGGCACATGGACGCCCGCTGCCCCAGGTTGCAGATAGCAGGCCTGGATGGTGGTGGGGCAGGCGGGATGCCCTGCCTGCGGTATGCAAATTAGCCGCCATCTTTGTTGATGGTTAATTTGCATATCACACTGATTAGCCTATGGAAAGTGTAGCGAAGGTGTGGTCAATTACCATGTTTGTCTATTATTAGATAGGCTATTGTTTTGTGATTAATCACAATGCTTTAATTATGTTCAATTTGTAACAATGAAAATACATCCTGCATATCAGATATTTACATTGCAATTCATAACAGAAGCAAAATTACAGTTATGAAGTAGCCATGAAAATAATTTTATGGTTTGGGGTCACCACAACATGAGGAACTGTATTAAAGGGTCGAGGCATTAGGAAGGTTGAGAACCACTGTTCTAGAGGGACATTGACTCGCCTTTTTCTCCGTAGCCCCTCTGTAGCTGCCAGGTCCGGGAGCCGTTGGGATTCCTCAAGGCCAGGCAGTTGGGGTTCCGGAAGGCAGGGTTCTTCACAGCAGACAGAGATGTGGCTGGCCAGGTGGCACTCTCCCGGCTCACGAGGTCCCCCTGTGCCTCTGAGAGCCCCGGGAACTGAGGGTTCCAGGTGGGGCCCACCCAGCAGTAAAATCAATCCCTGCTCCCAGCATCACAGCTTGCCATGTGGACTGTCTGTTCCCGAAGGTCCACCCGGGGCACTCTTGCCTCTCGAGGGCCTCATCCATGCTGCTCAGAGGCACCTGACTGGGGCAGATGGGACTTCGACATCCCAAGGAGATTGGTATTTCAAATAGAGGCAACAGGGAGAGAATTCTGGGAAACCCCAAGCAATGAATCCAGCAGGGAAGATGGCACCCAGGGCTAAGGGTAGAGTTCCCATGGCATTGACAACAGGATCCCTAACCACTGATGACACCCCACACCCACCCTCTGCCTGGGTGCTGGAGCTCCGATCATAGGACAGCCACACCTCCCAGCTCCAGCTTTTGTTACCACTAGCTGTCATGTCTCTTGCAGGCTACAGGGGAAATGAGGACAGTTATAAATGACCAGGTTTTCAAAAGCAAAATCAATAATATACCTGAGGATGTAGCCCATCTTTTTAGCAGCATTTTCCAGGTAAGCTGTGCCAAAATGGGCAAGGAGCATAGCTGGGGGGAGAGGGGAGCAGGCTGACAAGACCACCTGAAACTCATCCTGTCTCAGCGGGAATGCCGAAGGCCGAGGGCTCCAGGAGGCTTCCCGTGTCTGCTCGGCCACTGCCTGATTTCCGCTTTGTTTCTGAGATTTCATACACATGCACCTCCTCCCACATCTCCCCTCCGCCGTTCTCGCGTGCTCTGCTGCACACAATAGAATGGCGGTGTGGAAGCATTCTACGGCAGCCATGCTCCTTCCTACAGGCAGGGCCGGTGGCCGCCGTAGCAATCACCACCACCCCGCAAGGCTCGTGTGACAGCTGGACAGGTCCCTAACAAAGGCCTGGGCTGCTCACAGGGTCCCAGAGAACAGATGGCCTGTGGTCCCCTTGTGGGTATTGGTGCCCTGCACTGTACCCCCTACCCTGCCCCCAGGGGCACACCAGATGGACAACCATCACCCGTGTGCTCCCCTGGACAGCTCCAGACCGCTGCTCTCACAGATACCAGCCTGCTATCCTCCAGCTCCTGTTCTGCCTGCATCCCCAGGGCGTGCTCAGCTGGACAACCATCTCCCGTGACCAGCTCCTCCCATTTCCCTGGATTGGATGGTGATCCCTAACATCAGATTGGGATTCAGCACACTTTTGTTTGCCCACCAGGTTGTGAACTTCAAAGGGCACAGGCTGTGTTTTTAGCATCTTTGGATCACAAGTGCCCCGCATACAATAGGTCCTCAATCCAATGCCTGTTGAATGGATGAAGTTTACAAGCAACACCTGAGAGCTGTGGCAGCCAGCCAGGGCGCTAATGCAACGTAAGGAATGAGGAGCAGCAGGCAGAGCTGCCCCAGCCACAGCTTTGGGCTGGGAAACCCGCAGAGATCCAGCTGCAAATGTGGGGCTCTGGGTGCGAGGTCACATCTGCTCCAAAGTTCTCTTTCCTCTAAACTAAAACCCAAGACGTGACCTATGACATCCATTCAGCCACACCCTTCAACTTGCAGCGGGTCTACTTACCCCGGGGATGGGTCATTCCTTATGGGGACTGAGCTCTATTTGGAGAAACCCTTTCCACAGCACAACTCCCACTTCTGTAAATGCTGTGCAGGTAGTGAGAATGACAATAACGTCACCACAGTAACGCCCATAGCTACCACTACGGAGTGCCTGCTGTGTGCTGGTCCATACAGAATGCTTTAAGTAGGTTATTTTCCCAAGTCTCACAGCTTAAATGGCAAACCCAGAATCTAGTCCCAGGACTACCTGACACCATCCACTATTCCTAACGACAAAAGAAAGCTCTTTCTAGATTTGGGTGGGGGGAGGGGGAAGGGGGAGAGAACATTTCTACTTCTCAATAGGAGCATAATTCCTAGAGCTATACTGTCTAGTAGCCACATGTGGCTATTTAGATTTAAATTAATTTAAATAAAATTTAAAATTCACTTCCTCAGCCACATTTTAAATTTTTCTTTTTTATTGATTTGAAAAAGAAAGAGAAAAAAAATGTTAATTTGTTGTTTCACTTGGTTGTGCATTCACTGGTTGATTCTTGTATGTGCCCTGACCAGAGATAGAACCCAAAACTTTGGTGTATCGGGACAATGCTCCAATCCCTGAGCTACCCAGCCAGGGCATCACTAGCCACATGTTAAGTGATCAAGCACCCCTGACTGAAGGCTCTGGCATCAGGCAGCAAACAGAACATTTTCATCATCCCAGAAAGTTCTGCTGGCCTACCTGGCCTAGCACCTCTCCCTCTAGGTCTGAGTAACGTAGAGAAACCTTTCTATCTTACCCCAGGGGACACGCTACGGGACACCATGCATTTCCCTCTCTTCTATGCTGTGATCCTGTCAGGGCAGTGATATGTGAAAAAATACTGGCCTCAGCCCCAATACTATTCCTCTTAACAAAGGGCCTAGGATATTTCTTTTCCAACCCCAATGGCTTAAAAAAGAAAAAAATCTCAGTAGCATCCCTAACGTACACTAGGCACTCACTACCAAGTCTCTACTGGGCCTGCTCTCTCCCAGGTCAGTGCAGCTGCCCGCATCCGCCTTGGCCTCCAAGCCCTCTCTCCCAGGGGAAGCTCCCTGGGGCTGAGCAGTGGGGCACCAACCCCTGGCAAGGAGGTAACCACCTTACCGCTGACTTGAAGCTCACGGCGCTTGCCAGAGCACAACCACTTTCCAAGGACCTAAGTCAAATTTCTAGCTCCCGGCCTGCTCCTAAGGATGGAATACAAGGATTGTGCCGACAGTTCTGGACCCCAGCTCCACCACGCTCACATGGCCTGCTGGAAGCTTGGCCACGGGTCCCCATCACAGACTTGCACTTGCCTGGCCATGGACAGGATATGTTCTTTACGATTTTTATGTTTTAAACATGGTGGTTTTCTGTTCCCTTCAGCAACCCTTTGATCTCAGCGTGCTTCTGAGCATTTTGAATTATAAACCACTAGGATAGGCCTGACCTTCTTGTCTTGGATTTCATGGTGTGGCTCTTCCTAAATATTCTCTGACCTAGTGTTATTATTTGAAAATGAAAGGCAATGGAAATTGAAATTGACAATGTCAGGCCTCCCTTGGAGAAGCCTGTGATTGTGACCGTGGAAGAGGGTTAGGTTAACTGGGGGTCGGGGACCTGCTGTCGATTTGCCACATGACCTGCTGGACAAGTCCCACAGTCCCCATCCCCCTTTCCTACATCATTACCTGCCCAGGTCACTGCCTGGTGGTGAGACTAAAGGAGATGAACAAGAAAGCCTCACTAAGAGAGCTGGGGCTGGGACAACGTGTTCAAGAGCTGACCATATAGATTGTTCCAAATTGCATGTGCATTAAAGTGAGATTCTGTGAAGGTCAGGGAGTTTCTCAAGGGGAGAGACTGTGATTGCTATTGACTGAATCATGTCTCTTTCCTCGTCCCCCTCCCCCCCCCCAAAAAAAATCCATATTTAAAGCCCTGCCCCCCAGTGTGATGGCATTTGGAGATAGGGCCTTTGGGAGACAGGTATGGATGAGGTCCTGAGTGTGGGCTGCTTGTGATGAGATTAGTGTTTCTATAAGACGAGGTAGAGACCAGAGCACTGTTTTGGGCCCTTCCTCCCTCCCCCCACCACCCACCACCATATGAGGACACAGAGAAAAGGTCGTCATCTGCAAGGCAGGAAGCTCTCACCAGGGACCAAATCTGCCAGCACCTTGACCTTGAACTTCTCAGCCTCCAGACTGCGTTGGGTAAGCCCCCAGTGGTATTTTATTATGGCAGCCCAAGCTGACTGATACAGTGGCTTATGCATCACAGCATCCCTGAAGTCTGACACAGTGCCTGTCACACAGGAGGCTTGGTTAATGGGTCAATGTGTGCCATCCCCTGTCCTGGTCAACAGGTCATGCACCTCTGATGGGCTTGGCCCTATCCCCATTGTGACCCAAAGCACCCATTGGTGAGAGAATCCGTCACCTGGGGTCAGTGAAGAGGCATCCTCATGATTTCGCTTGGAGGGAAAAATCTGTGATTAGGCCTCATTAACCCCAAGTCCTACCAATACAGCTGTTTGATTTGATCACTGAACACAGGCCACTTGTGGAAGATAACAAGCTATGGTACAGAAATTCCCCTGCCTGTCTCTGCAGTATGTGCCTGCCCTGCCCCTCAGGCACCTGCTTCCACGGGCTCCAGCGCTTCTGCAGGTCCGTCCTTGCAGACAGTGCTCTCTAGGCATGGTATTCTAGGATGCCTTTCTGGAGTAGGTGGGCTCACTTGAGTTGGTCTCCGGATTTGATAAGTGGCAAAGAGGAAGAAGCAAAGAGGAAGAAGCAAAGGACTCTTGAGCCTTCCCCATGGTTAAGGTAGGTTTGGGGTTGTTGTTTTTGTTTTTATTGATTTCAGAGAGGAAGGGAGAGAGAGAAACATCAATGATGAGAATCGAGGATTGACTGCCTCCTGCACACCCCCTACTGGGGATCGAGCCTGCAACCCGAGCATGTGTCCTGCCCAACACACGTGAACTACTGCTTCATAGGTCAATGCTCAATCACTGAGCCACACTGGCCAGGCTAAAGTGGGTTTTGATGAGATCCAAACCTACTGTCTGGGGGAGGAGCCAGGCAGGCATTACAGGGAGAAAGGGGAGCACTTCGGGCTGGTGTGGGTCAGAGAGGGGGGCCTAGGAAAACCCTTCTGATTTGGCTTCTGCCTGGTCCTGAGAGCTGATTGAAGGATGGGCATACCCTGCATGGTCGTGAGATTTCACACTGCATGGTTTATGATCAAAGACCGGGACCACGAGTCAGAGCCCTGGCTGAACACTAACCATTATCAGCACTGTGTTCCCCAGCTAAGCTGAGTCCTCACCTCCACAGGTCTTTCTGTGATGCTACAATTAGAACTCCTGCCAGATGAAAGGGATTAAACAAAACCTGGAAAGAGGGGTAACCAGAAGCCAGGGTGAACACAGCCAGGTCCTGGAAAAGGAAACACATCTGTGAGTTCAGAGGACCCCACAAGCCCTGGGAGGCAGGTACACATAGTTCATCCTCCTCCAGAATTAGCAAGGTCCCCTCTTTTCCCTCCCACCTATCCAACCCTAGCACCCCAACACCCACCCCTCTCTCCTGTGGGAAAATATAGTCCAAGCGACAGCTGGGCTGGAGCCCTGGGTTCGGCTTTGGGAAAGCATGAGGAGTGACTCTTGGGGGCTGCAGGTTGAGGGGAACATGTGGAAAGAGATGAATTGTATTGGAAGAGGGAAAGAGAATTGGGTGTGGGCAGGTGCTCTGCTCGTGGCCAAAGCTCCTTACCCTGGTCCTGGGGCAAATGACCCTCAGAGCACACAGAGACCCGGAGATCAGAGATCGGAGATCAGGAAGGGAAGCTTAAAAAAGACAATGAGCCGATACCGGTTTGGCTCAGTGGATAGAGTGCCGGCCTGCGGACTGAAGGGTCCCCGGTTCGATTCCGGTCAAGGGCATGTACCTGGGTTGCGGGCACATCCCCAGTGGGAGATGTGCAGGGGGCAGCTGATCGATGTTTCTCTCTCATCGATGTTTCTAACTCTCTATCTCTCTCCCTTCCTCTTGGTGAAAAATCAATAAAATATATTTAAAAAAGAAAGAAAGACAATGAGACCATGTGAGATGGTCAAGCCTTCATTTTCCTCTTCTGTAACGCTGCCATGATAAGGAGCCAAGTCAGTCATCCGCATGCCCCAGGCCCACCGAGTGGGAGCAGTAGGTTTGGCTCTTCCTTGCTGCAGGACCTTCCCAAGCCACCAAACCTCGGCTGAGACCACACCCCTTGTGCCCCAGCCCCTGACCGTCTCCCACATTCCCGTCCTTGGGACAGGCGAGCCATAACAGCACCCTCGCAGTGGGGCAAATCACGGTTGAGGGCCACAGAACCACTCACTCCTTCCAAAACTATGTGTTGAATGGCCACGAAGTGCTGGGCGCCCCTCCCTCGCCTGTGTGTGGCAGGCGACACTACCGCTGACCAGTCCAGACCTGGGCCATTTCACGCCAGGGAACCTCTCCTTCAGCCCCCAAAAGGCCCCCACCTGGTGCCTGAGGGCTGGGGTCCCACCTCTAAGGAAGTTTACGGGGTTGGCCCTCAACCTGTCAGGGACACATCCCAGCTCCAGGGTGAAGAATGCCTGATCCCCCCTCCTCCCTCAGCCCACGGGGACCTTTTTGCGGTCTCCCTTTGGGGTACTTCTGGAATTCTGTCCTCAGACCTTCAGAGCCTTGTGATAGGGTCTTACCCCCTGGGGTGCTAAAAGCCACCATTCTGGCCACTCCCCACAGGCACCCCCGCAAACACCCCACGCGGGTCCCCTCGGGTCCAGGTCCACTAAAGCGCTTCGACCTTGACGCTGGGGGTGGGCGACAGGGTCTCCAGGTGCACGCGCTGGTGCTTGAGCAGGTGCTGCTTCTGGCTGAAGCTGCGCCCGCAGGCGGCGCACCGGTAGGGCCGCTCGCCCGTGTGGTTGCGCCGGTGCCGCGTCAGGTTGGGCTTCTGGCTGAAGCGGCGGCCGCACTCGGGGCACGGGTAGGGCCGCTCGCCCGTGTGGATGCGCCGGTGGACGGTGAGCGCCGACCACCACGCGAAGCTCTTGCCGCACTCGCTGCAGATGAACTGGCGCTGCTCCCCGGGCCCCACCAGGTCCTCCCGCGCGCGGCACCATCGCACGTCCGCGGGTCGCCGGGCCGATGGGGGGCTGTGCGGGGGCGCCGACCGGCCCTGGGGGACGCGGGCCTGCGGCTCGGGGCCCGGCGACCGGGCAGCGGCGGCGCCGGTGTGCGCGCGCTGGTGGGCCCGCAGCGCCGCGCGGCCGGGGCAGCTCTGGCCGCAGACGGGGCAGCGCGCCGCCCGGGCGCCCGGCAGGTGCGTGCGCTGGTGCTTGAGCAGGTGCTGCTTCTGGCGGAAGCGGCGGCCGCAGTGCGGGCAGGGGTGCGGGCGCTCGCCCGTGTGGTTGCGCAGGTGCCGCGTCAGGTTGGGCTTCTGGCTGAAGCGGCGGCCGCACTCGGGGCACGGGTAGGGCCGCTCGCCCGTGTGGATGCGCCGGTGGATGTTCAGCGACGACCACCACGCGAAGCTCTTGCCGCACTCGCTGCAGATGAACTGGCGCTGCTCGCCGGGCCCCATAACGGCGGTCTGGGCCCCCACTTGGCGCCACCAGCCCTGGAAGAGCCCCAGCCAGGCCCACTCGGGGCGCCCCCGCGGCGGCCCCGGACGCAGTCGACGGCCCCCGCAGGCCGCGGATTCCCGGAGCAGCTCCCACAGCCCGGCGCGGGCGCCCTGGCGGTCCCGGGCGTGCGCGCGCTGGTGGATGCGGAGGCCCACCGGGTGGCGGAAGCAGCGCTCGCACTCGGGGCACGAGTAGGTGGCGGGCCGCGCATGGGTCTTCTGGTGTTTGAGCAGGTGCTGCTTCTGGCTGAAGCGCCTGGCGCACTCGGGGCAGCGGAAGGGCCGCTCGCCCGTGTGCTGCTGCTGGTGGCGCGCCAGGTTGGGCTTCTGGCTGAAGCTCTTGCCGCAGCTGCCGCACAGGTAAGGCTTCTCCCCGGTGTGGGTGCGCTGGTGGATCTTCAGGGACGACCACCAGCTGAACCTCTTCCCGCAGTCCAGGCACACGAAATGACCCTCGCGGGCAGACAGAACAGGGCTCAGGGGGCCGGGGGCTGCCCCCGGAACCTGGCCTGCCAGCCCAGCATCCTGCTCAGTGGGAGGGGTCCACCTGGGACCCCCAGTCTCCTCCTGTCCCCCCAAGGATCGGGGTTTCCCCAAAGTCTGGCATGGTGGGAGGCCCAGGGGCTGCTGGAAAATGTTTTCCTTGTCCTTGGAAAGCGCGGCCGGCGGCGCCAGCGTCTGCAGCAGCCACTCTGGCTTCTCTTGCTTGATCTTCATCACCAACCGGTTTCCTGCCAGAAGCAAAGGGACAGAGGACGGGGAGAGTCAGTCACTGCTCTGAGCTCCGAGGGAGACTTGCCTGGAGGACAGAGCAGGAGGGCAGAGCATAGCAGGAAATAAGACAGGGCAGAAGAATGCACAAGGAAGAGATTTGAAAAGGAAGATGAAATGGGGAAAGGAGAAAGGAGACAGTAGGGGAAGGAAGGGCAGTAGGGCAGGGGCAGGTTGGGGGTTGGAGAAGGACAAAGGGAAAGATGCAAAACAGGAAAGCTCGTCCTGGCCAGGTTGCTCAGTGGTTAGAGCGTCAGCCTGCGCACCATGGGGTTGCAGGTTCAATTCTGATTAAGGGCAGGTACCTGGGTTGCAGGTTCAATCCCTACCCCAGGAACCAATCAATGTGTCTCTCTCATATTGATGTCTCACTCTCTCTTTCTCTCTCCTCTCTCTCTCTCTCTATCTTCCCCTCTCCCCTCCCTTCCACTCTCTCTAAAACTCAATGGAAAAAAATATCCTCAGCTGAGGATTAACAACAACAAAGAAAGGAGGGAAGCTAAGTGAAGCTGCTGTGCCAGACACACCGGCTGCCCCCCTGCTCTGCCTGAGGCCCAGGAGACACAGAGACAGTTAAAGACACCCATCCAGTGAGATCTTCCCTGGAGAGCAAGCAGAACACGGCCAAGTTCAAACATCTTCTTTTCCAAAGGATCATGTGCTGGGAGTTTGCTAAGCGAGTCTGTAGCCGGTCCCTCAGTGGCTCATGTCACTGCCGGGCCCTCTCCAGGGTGGCAGCCATGGTGTGTGAGCACCTCACCTGCTGGGACCTTGGCTGTTTGCAACATCAGTTTTCTTCAACAAAATCAAGAACAAGAAAGTCAGCCGGAGAGGTCTCAGCACCAGAACAGGTGAGCCTTGTCTCTGTACTAAACCTAGGCCGCTCTACTCCCGAGTCCCACACACAGGGCTGCTCAGGGCTACAGGGGCGCTTGGTTCCTCTGGCTCATGGACATCAGCCTGATGGAAAAGGTCTGCTACACACACTGAATGAAGACTGTATGTTTCCATTATATGAAGTTCAAAAGCTGGCAGGACTGATGGATGAGTTAGAAGCCAGGATAGCGGGCACTGTTTGGAAGGGGGCAGGAGGGACTTCTCATTCTGGCAATGGTCTCTTTCTGGATCTGGGTGCTGGTCACATGGGAGTGTTCACATCATAAGAATTTATAAAGCTCCTGAACTATGCACTTTTCTATGTGTTACACTTCAATAAAAAGTTTACATTCAATTAAAAGTAGGTAAAATGAAACAGTTGCGAACAAAAGAGAGAAGCTACAGTAAACAACAGGTTCCAAAATTTAAAAGACAAGAAAATAAATCCAGAGAAAGTAGGAGGGAGGAATTAGCAAAGAAAATAGTACGTGTGTGTGCATGCCAGTGTCTGTGTGTGTGTGTGTGTGTGTGTGTGTGTGTGTGTGTGTTCCCTTGCCTGGCAAGTTTTGAACCGCCCTTTGTCATTTTCTTAGCTCCTGTAATCTGTCTTTGTCCCATTGTTTGAAGACCTTCAACGTCCTGCAATTCGACACCTTCTAAGTGAGGGCAGCTTTGGAGGGACATGAAGACGAAGGCGGAAGACGTGCCAGGGAAGGAAGCCATGGTTGGCTCGCACCTTTCCCTCTTCTGTCTTACCTGTGCTGGCACCAGCCAGGCTGCTCTCCATCCCGGGGGACCCACGGCATCAGCACGGTGCCCTGACTCGGTCTGTGCGTGAGATGGGAGAAAGGAAACAGAGTGGCCTGTGGGACAGGGACAAAGGCTTTCCCAGTCCTTGTGCCACCTCACAGAATGCATTCCTTCTTTTCCAAGAGCTTTTCTGCCCATGACCTCGGCTGAAATGTGCAGGATTTTTTAAATTGCACACATACCTGCTAGGCAGGTAAAACAGGCATAATTCCCATTTTATGAAGAGGAACCTGAGGTCAGAGGGCCACTGACATGCCCCGAGTCACATAGGTGCTGAATGGTGGAGCAAGGCAAGATCCCAGGCCTTCTAGCTCCCAGACTAAAGCCTCAGGTCTAGGCTCTCAACATCTGCAGGGCAGGGTATGAAGGACGCTGCAGAGGTGAAACTCAAACGAGTTAGTGGCCTGAGAGGTCTTGCAGACACCTGGGAAGGCAGAATTGTGCCTGTGAAACCACGGCCCTCCTCTCTCTAAGTCCCCGTCTATGTCCCAGCACAAACCCTCCCAAGGAGCACTCCATGCAAGAACGCACAGTCCAGCTGGGCTACGCGTCCACCAATCCATGGCTCACCTGGTTGGTGAATGCTCCAGTTGTTAGAACATTTCCTGATGGTTCCTTGTGCCTGGAACATGATGGGGGACAGGTCATGCTGCTCAGAAGCCTCGGGCTTTGCACTGGCTGCCCCTCTGCATGGGGTGCTCTGTCTCAGATCTTGGCATGGCCCCACTCTCCTCTTTTAGGGATCACCTCCTCAGCACGGCCTTCCCTGGCACTCTGGGTAAAGTCACAAGCCTAACTCCACCTCACATTCCTCCATGACACTGTGCCACCTGACATGGCACTTACTCTACTCCCCTTCATCTGGAGGACAGGAACTCTTGGTGCCCACAGAGGAAGGCCCGGGACCTGGGACACAGCCCCACACAGAGAACACCTGGCAGCGCTATGGCGCTCAGAGGTGGGCTGTGGCAGCCTGCGGTTCATTCTCTCCACCAGGTACCGTGGACTGCCTCTGCTACGGACAGGATTCTGGCTTCACACGCCTGCTGCCCGTAGACCCCACACTCCCAAAGAGCCCCACTGAGGACCTGTGGCTCTCACACCAGCTCCAGCAGCTGCGACCATGGGGCTTTCCTGGCCATCAGCTGGAGCTTCCTCCAGGGCACCTCAGTCCAGCCGCCCTCACAAGAAACCCTGTCTGATCTTGCTCCCCACCTGGGGCCCTCGAGAGCCCCCAAGCCCCCCATCCTAAGGGTCCCCCCTCTTCTCTCCCAGGTCCCCTTCCCAGGCTGGGAATCTGGACCCTAACAAGAGAAGTGGGTGGGGGTGGGGGAGATAAGGGTAAATATGAATCTAAAATACAGAGAAGACATTTTTCCCTCGTGCAGAAAGGGAGAAACCCCTCCCCTTTCCTTCAGAACATTTCTTTAGAAAACTTCTAAACACAGGTTCTCCTCTGTCTCTTTGAGATGTACATAAATCATTTCCAAGGCAAAATAAGCCTCTTGCCAGCTTTACAACCCAGGACTGTCTCTCTCAGGGACCTGGAAGCCATCTCTTTGAAATGTAAATCTCAAGGGAGACAGCACCCTGTCTCCCTGTCCCCATGGGAGGCTGGGACCCTAACCTGGGTGGACACCTGGCTCCAAGCTGCAAAACTACCTCCTGTCATAAAGGTATGAGAAGCGTGTTTTTCCTCTGGACAAAGGCAATTCACAAACACCCCCATTCCCAGGTGAATCTGGGATGAACTCTGTGTGACAAAGGTCAAGTCCTCTCACCGGAGGACTAGTGACAGTGTACCTGGAGAACATGTGTGTAACAGACTGCACCTGCTGGGCTGTGTAACAGGTGAGATTTCTTTCTGTCTTTGCAATCTCCTGGTGGACTTCCTGTGATGTGCATCTCATTCTGGTGTGGTGATCATTCAATAATAAAAACAAAGACCCTAGCCGTTTTCTCAGTGGTTAGAGCAGCGGTTCTCAACCTGTGGGTCGCGACCCCTTTGGGGGTCAAATGACCCTTTCATTGGGGTCGCCTAAGACCATCGGAAAACACATTTTGAATATATAACTACATATTGTTTTTGTGATGAATCACTATGCTTTAATTATGTTCAATTTGTAACAATGAAAATACATCCTGCCTATCAGATATTTACATGACGATTCATAACAGTAGCAAAATTACAGTTATGAAGTAGCAACGAAAATAATTTTATGGTTGGGGGTCACCACCACATGAGGAACTGTATTAAAGGGTCGCAGCATTAGGAAGGTTGAGAACCACTGGGTTAGAGCGTCATCCCGCCCATAGAAGAGTCCAGGGTTCGATTCCCGTCAAGAGCATGTACTTTGGCTGCAGGTTCCCCAGCCCCTGCAACCAATCGATGTTTCTTTGTCTCTTTCTCCCCCTCCTCCCTTCCACTCTCTCTAGAAATCAATGGAAAAAATAGCCTTGGGTAAGGATTAAGCATAACAAAACAAACCTGCTGTTTCTCTCCTACTTTTGCGAGGAGATTTTCTGAGTTGGCTGGCGATTTTGTTTTTAATTCTTTTTCCCCAGTAGGGTGTGCTCTGCACTCCTTCTGTGGTTTATAGACACCAAAATCTGCCTGTGGGGCAGAGAAAGGGGAGCCCGGAGCAGAGGGGAGGAAAGGCCCACCGTGGGGGCCCTGATACACCCTGTGTCCCACGGCCGGGGGAAGCCTCACTGATGTCCACCTAAAGTGGCTCAGGGGACTGGCGAATAGGGAGGCCACCGGAAGTTGGGGAAACTCAGGGGGCAGGGCCAACTTCAGTATGAGGACAGAGGATGGGGCTTGGCCCTATTCACAAAACCCTAGCACGACACAAGAGGCCCCTTAGCCTAATCAAATCAGTCCTACCTGACTGTCTTCCAAGAGGTATTAAGACCTAAAAATCGCCTCAGTGGATAGAGCGTCAGCCTGGGGACTGAAGGGTCTCGGGTTCGATTCCAGTCAAGGGCGCATGCCCGGGTTGCGGATCGGTCCCCAGTAGGGGGCATGCAGGAGTCAGCCGATCAATGATTCTCTCTCATCATTGATGTTTCTCTCTCTCTCCCTCTCCCTTCCTTTCTGAAATCAATAAAAATATGTATTTTTTAAAAATCGCCTCGGGTAACAGAAAGACTTCAATTCTTAGTGAACAATTCACAGTGAATTAATTACCTCATCCCTGGGAACCCCTGGGCTCACTAGGGCTTGTGGTCAGAGTAAGACAGAAGTGGACACGAAAGAAAGTGGACCCTCATGGGCCCCAGGGGAAGAAATAAGAATGAGAAGGCAGGGGTAGGAGGAGCACGGAGGACAGGAATAGGGGTAGGCAGGCCGTGTCTTGGGGGCCCACCTCCACCTGTGTGCTCAGGTAGGACATCTGGAAAACAGGCAAGCAGGTATCCTGCAGACAAACCCTGAGCTAGCCAAACCCAGGAGAGTCCCTCCCCATGGCCACTTCCTTCCAGGTCGGCCAGGTCACCAGGTACACCCTGCCCCACCCCAAGCTGTGCCTTTTCCATCCTTCTCTCCTATTCTGCCACCCAACAGTCTCACGCCACCTGACGCATCGGTTGACCTGAGAGATGCCCAGGAACCCATCCAGCAGGCTGCCTAGCAAAACGCCCCAGCCAGAAAACAGGAGGCCACGGGGCCAGTCCGCCACCTCCACCAGTGCCCACTGAGTCTATGAAGGCCGCTTGGCCCTGGCCCCACACTCCAGTGACCTTTCCCAGGCGGCCCAACAAGTTGTGTAGAGAGCAGGTCTCAGGGCAGGGCCCTGAGCACCATCCCCTTCCCAGCCCCTGGCTCCAGGCCCAACCCTCCCTACGTGGGGTCGGGCTGCAGCTGGGACGTGAGTCCCCTCAGCTGGGGCAGCTGCCATGACAACTGCCAGACACACAAAGCGGGGATTGTGGCCTGTGGCAGGTGGTGAGGTCTGGGGCAGGAGAAGGTAACAAAAGAGCTTTGGTCTCAGCAGAAACTTGGGGGCAGGAAGGGGCGGACAGCAGCTGGGGGAGAAGGGCCACAGTGCAGGGGCATGTCCAGGTCTCCCACATCCGCCCACGCTCAGGCCCCTGGGACTTTCCCACCAGCCACGCACATCTCTCTTCACAGACTCAGGCCCCTGCTGGGGAGAAGTGGATCGCGCCTCATGTGTCCTTTGTCCCGAGTAGAGCAGGGACTGGCCACATGCCCTGCACCAGGAGCTGAGGATTTGAGGGGTGGCCCAGCTCCTAGGCCAGTGGTTCTCAACCTTGGCTGCACATTAGAATCACCTGGGAATCTTTTTAAAATCCTGATTTCTGGGCCCCATTCTCCAGATTCCCAGGTGATTCTAATGTGCAGCCAAGGTTGAGAACCACTGGCCTAGGCCCTGCTCAGTCATGAGCCGTGACCCAGGGCTGCACCCATGTCCTCACTGTCTGCCATACTCACTTATACCAACAATCCTGCCCCCACAGGAAACTGCAGGCAAGGAACAGGCGGGGGACAACCTTCCCCAGGTACCCCACCACATCAGGCTGGCCTCCCTCTGCCCCTTGGTCCATGCTTCCCTACTTTCTCTTAATCACATCTCTCCCAGCCCTCAGCTGGCTTAACCCCACCTGGCCCTCCGTGCCTCGCCCACTCTAACCAGCCTCCTACCCTCTGCCTAGTCTGGCTGGCCCACTCTCTGCTGGATTCCTCAGTGGAGGGGTGGGGGGGCTGAGAGCCTGGGATGGGGTTTGCTTCTTTAAAATATATATATATGTTTTTATTGATTTCAGAGAGAGGAAGGGAGGGGGAGATAGAAACATTGGTGAGAGAGACACTTCGATCGGCTGCCTCCGCACGTCCTCTGCTGGGGATCAAGCTTGCGACCTGGGCACGTGCCCTGACCAGGAAACGAACTGGAGGCCTCCTGGTGCATGGGACGACACTCAACCAACAGCCATACCAGCCGGACTGGGGTTTGCTTCTGATCAGCCATGTGAACCAAGGCCAACTGCTTCTCTTCTCTGGGCCACAGTTTCCCCATCTGCAAATGCAAATGACGCTTGTCCCTAATGTACAGAATTGTTATATCAAATGGAAGGGACAGTTGAAAAGACTGAAAAATGTTCACAAGGTACCAGATGACTTCTTTTTAGGTCACTGCAGTGGCCACATCTCCCGCCACACACTCCCCGCCTTGTAAGAACTGTATCCCGGGGTTTCCCCAGGAGGGAGAACCCATTTTAGTGACCTCAGTTTGTACCCGCCAGCCTTCCTTGGGAACCAAGTCCACGGACAGCCTGGGCAGCCAGTTCCCCAGGCCTCTCCACTTCCTGGAGGTCCCGGATTTGACCCCAGGCCCATTCTGGTGGCACCTCCTTGCAGGACTTCTTCTTCTACCTGCCTTACATGCACGTCTTTGCTGTGACTGTCCCACCCCCCACCTCCATGCCCCCACACCTGCCCCACACCCATGGCATCCCCACCCCAGTGTCCTTTTAAAAGAGAGAGCAGCACCCATGTTCCTCCACCCGAAGTCCAGGACTTAGGAGCCTGCCAGGGCCTGGGACCTCCCATTACCTGATCTGAAGACCAGGGACAAAACCAACTGCTCACAACACTGAACAAGCGTCACTTTCATCTATAAATCCTTTTCTAGTGTTTGCTGCATTTGAAGGCGCTTGGGAAAAGTAGGAAGTGTTTCCCTCTTGTAAGATGAGGAGAGCGAGGCCCAGAGTTGACACTCTCTGACTCGAACAGAATTAGACGGCAGGTCTCCTCCTGCACACCCTGACCTCGCTCTCCCCTCCAGGCCACTCGGCCCTAGGAAACCTTGGATTCCTCAGCCGACCTCTGTCCAGGGGCAGGTGCATGGGCCTGACCACCTCCACCATGTTCTGCACTTGACCCCAGACCTCCCTTGCTTCCCCAGAGATGACAGTGGGTCTTCGTCAGGCCTTTCAAAAAGGCACCACCTTCGCTACCACCGAGCACAAACGCCCACAACACGCGGGTCAGTCACTAAGTGGTACCAGTGCTATTTTTAAGACCGTCAGACCTCCTCCCGCCACGGCCTTAGTTCAGGCCTCACCGCTCTCTCCTGGACACCGTGCCTGTTTTATAGCTTATCTTGCCCCTCCAACCCACCTACCACCCAGCACTCAAAGCAATGCTACAACTGGGACATGTTTCTACTTTGCTCAAAATACTTCAATGGGTCCTCAACACCTTCGGGTTCAGCTAAAAATTTCTTGGTGAGACCATTTAAAATTGGCCTCTGCTCACCTCTGCTCACTGCCTGAGGCTCCGCCCGCCCGCTGGCCCTCTCTGCCCCCTGACCCCGCCATGTCGTGGCATGCCGGTGACCAGTCCTGGAATACTGTTGCCCAACCCTTCCCTGCCCAGCCCGGATCAGGGATCACGGAGACCAGGAAGGTTTTGGGGTTTGTCAGGCTCAGTTAGGGGCCCTTCTCTGTTTGACCTGTGCATCCGCCCAGCCCAGCACCATCCACATGGTACCGTAATATTTTGTCTGTCTCCACAAGACCGTAAACATCTTAACACAGAGACTATTTCTCTCTCCTCAGCACCCAGCACAAGGTCCCACATGCTGACAAACCATTGATAACAATTTTAATAAAGGAACATTTAAATAAAAGAAACTAATTCCAAAACAGATTACAGAGTCACAGAACCTTAGAGCTGAAAGACCCTCTAGTCCAGCGGTTCTCAACCTGTGGGTCGCGACCCCTTGGGGGGTCCAACGATCCTTTTACAGGGGTCACCTAAGACCATCGGAAAACACATATAATTACATAGTTTTTGTGATGAATCACTATGCTTTAATTATGTTCAATTTGTAACAATGAAAATACATCTGCATATAAGATATTTACATGACGATTCATCACAGTAGCAACATTACAGTTATGAAGTAGCAACGACAATAATTTTATGGTTGGGGGTCACCACCACATGAGGAACTGTATTAAAGGGCCTCGGCATCAGGAAGGTTGAGAACCACTGCTCTAGTCTTTTCATTTTACAGATAAACACAGGGACACCCCCCCCAAAAAAAACAAAAAAACAAAAACACAACCACAGCCTAAGCCTAGACGTTTTCCTGCCCTCTGCCATCTCATCCCCGCCCCCCGCCCCCCACCCCCACCCCCCGCAACCTCTGGGGCTTCGACCACACCCCACCCAGGCTCTGGCTGACCAAGACCCAGCTCCAGGCTCCATCCTGTCCAAAGGGCCATCGGGGCACCGTCTCATGTCCTCCACCTGCACCGGGGACAGCCCCAGCGCCCACCCCACTCCCCACCCGCCCCCTGAGATCCGGGCCGCTGTGCCGCTTTCCTGGAATGGAGGTTTCAGGGAGACCCTCACACACCTCAGTTTCTGCAGTGCTCCCCTCATTGTCCTCACCCTAGCCCCAGCCCCCACCCTCCGATGTTTATCGGGCACCGAGTGTCAGTGCGGCGAGCGCGGGGCTGCTGCCCCCCGAGCCCGGCCTCTCCGGGACAGTCCCGGCGCCGACCGTCGGGACAGCCCCGCGCTCGCCACCCGCTCCTCCCGCTGTCACCCGCCCCTCCGGCTCTCGGCCCGGCCGGCAGCCCCTCCCGCGCACGCCCCGAGCCCGTCCCCACGGCTGTGTGGGAGCGGGCAGAGTTCGAGGCCGGAGCGGGGGGCTCAGGGGACCCCGAGGCCGCCTCCAGCCCGGGGTGGGTGGCGGCAGCGCGGGAGGAGCGCCCGGGCGCCGGCGCCGACGCGCGGCCTGAACCTCCGCACGCCCCTCCCGCCCTGACTCCGGGCTCGGAGGGCGGGACGGGAATAAATACCTTTGACTTTGAGGCTAAGGTTAACGGGAACTGCCACCCGGGGCGGCGTGGGCGCTGGGCGCCGGGCCCCGCCAGACCCGGCAGGGGGACGGGCGCGCGCCCCTGATTGGCTGGCGCGCCTGGCACCCCCGGGCCGCCCCGCCGCCTGATTGGATGCGCCGCTCAGATGACCGCCTCGGCCCTATCGGAGACGCCCGCGGGGCGGCCCTTTTGTTCTCCGGAACCAATAGGCGGGGTCGGCGGGCGGACCTCGCCTCCCTCGGCGCCGCCGGAGGCGCTGTGAACGCGCTGGCCGCGGGGCACCTGACCGATGCCCTGGGCTTCGCGGGGAGGACGGGCGGGGACCAGCCAGGCTCTGCCGGGCACCCTGCCCTGTCTCCCCGGGGCCCTCCCGCCCGGCCCCGCAGATCGCGCTGTGAAATCCACGCGGTCGGGCCGACGCTCCGGGCGCCGGGCCTGGGGGAAGAAGCGGGAACCCGCTCGGACGCTCACACTCGAGTGTGCATGTGCCGTGGCGGTGGTGCGGGCACCAGGCGTGAGCGCGATGTGCGTGTCTCGTGTGACGGGAGAGAAATCGCCCTCCGCACCCGCGCGGCCCTGCACGCCGTGGGCGCGACCAGCGGCCCCGAGGTCTCATTCAACCCAACCCCCGGCTGCGGGTGGAGGAAACAGCCATCTGGGATCGAGTGTCCCCGCTGCTTTAGAGGCGGGTCCAGGTGGCCAGGGAGGGTCTTCTGTTCCCGGGAACCTTCAGGAAGGCTTTCCTCTCCTCCCCCGGGACTGGAAGCGCTCCTTGGTGTCAAAATTCCTCACCGGGAGCAGCCACGTCCGCTCCCACGGGCAGGTGCTCTCAGGAGCCGCTTAGAAACCGCCTTTGGGACGGAGGTTGCTACCAACAGGAACGGGGCGCTGAGACTTCCTGCAAGCCCTCTAGTAATGGCAGCAGCTGCCTGCGAGGCATCTGCCACGGCCCAGCTGCTGTTTAGCCTCTTCGCACAATAGAAACCGGCGACCAAGGTTCTAGCAAAGTCTGACCACAAACTGGGTGTGCATTTTTTACAAAAGACACATTCTGTCTCTGGATTTTGACTTGTCTGTAAAAGAGTTGCACGCAAACCTTGCTGGATTTTTGCAGGGCCCTAATTGGTTCTATCATCCATAGTAGCTTTTGTAAAGTAACCCCACAGGGAAGCCAGGCATCACTAGGCCATCAACTCTGTAGAGTCTCATTCATCTCTTTATTTTCTAGAACACCTGGCGAAGGCTTGGGGATTCGTGTTCTAGTTCCATATCTGCCCCTGGGTTCAAGTGGGACAGTCACAGCCACCCTCTGGGCCTGTTTCCTCCTCTACAGAGAGAGAGACTTCCTCCAGATTGACATTTCATGACCAAGGTTATCTAGAGGGTAGAAAGAATGAAGCACAGCTGGGTCCTCTTTCCATAAAGTAAAAAAGGAGGCTATATGTTCATATCTGCAAATGCACAGAAAAGTGTTCTGGAAGGCGCTGCCCTCCAAGTCCCTACACGGAGTAAGATGTGGAGGGTGGAAGAGAGGGAATGAAAGACTTCCACATGAAAAAAATGTATCTAAGTATATCTGCATTGTTTAATTTTGACAAGATAATTGAATAATTCTGTGATCGTGGGAGAAAACAGAAACAGCCCAGGGCTCTTCAGAAGGGCAGCTCCTGTCAGCAGAGCGCTGACCATCCAACCCCGGCAGTTCCTCCTTCAAGACTTCTGGCAGCATGTGCCATGCTGAGCAAGGGCTTGGGGCCCACTGGGTCCCCTGCAGGACTCTAGGGGCAAGTTCACTCTATCCTGCCCTACCAGCCCGCTCGAGGCTACTTCTGTGGCGTTCCCTGACCCTTGCTTGGCCCTCTTCTCACCACCTCTACCCAAAAGCAGTGGCCAGCAGAGCAGTAGAGGACTTTTGGTGCTCGTCTTCCCCACATACCAGGCGTTTTCTTTAAAGGTTAAGTTTTCAAAAAGTCAGAACCCCTGGTCAGATCCCCTCTCCCTCACCTTTTCTCTGACTCTTCCCCCCCCCCCCCCCCCCAATAATAACCCTAGATGCCTGAGGACCTGTCTCCTGCTCCCTAACCTTCACTCCATCTACCTACTTCCCTGATACTCCTCCCCCTCCCCCCTCCACCCCCACCATAAAGCACTGCTCCCTTCCCTTGAAGCCCTCAGCTTTCTTAAACATATTTAGGTGAGACTTTGACACAATGCCCCCAGGTTCTGAAAGCTAATTAGCCATCATCAAAGACACAGGCTTCTAAGTGGCCCCATAACCCCGGAAGCCAATGTGAAGCGTTGAAGCTGCCTGCTTCCTTCACTTGGAGCCCCACGCACCCTCATGTCCATCTCTCTGTGCTCATTATTTGTGTACACATATATGTCCACCCCAAACTTAGGCCTTCTAAGGGGGAAAATTGGGGCTTATCTTTGTAAACCCTGTTTCCACCCCAACATCAAGCACACAGTAGGCACTGAATACTTATCTTCACCCAAAGCAGCAGCATCCTCCATGGCCATGGTCAAAGCACAGGTTCCAGCAGTCAGGCTGACCTCTGGCAATCACCAGTTACATGACCTTGAGCAACTGCATTCATCTGTAAAAGAAGAGTACCTACCGCACAAGATAATTTAGGAACACTTCTTTGCCAGGTGCCACTGACATAAACCATTTGTGGCTATTATTATTATGCACCAGACTATGCCAGGTGCCAGTAACCTGTGCAGAAATTACGAAGGCTGGCAAGAAAAGGGCCTATTGATTCCTGTCAAAAATAGGCCATCTTATCTGTCTGAAACAACAGTACCAGGAAGCGTCCAGAGTAACAGATGTGGGGAACTCCAGCAGGCCAGCCAGGGAGGCATTGCAGGACAAAATCAAATCAGAACTTTTCCCCAATAACTGGCACCCAACAAGTCAGACCTGACCCACAGACGGCTGAACCCCTAGAGAACTTGGCCCCTTGCTGGGTGTGCCTGGCCTTCCCTGGGGAAGAACTGGAAGCAGGCACAGAGGGGCTCAAATCAGGGCACTTGGCCTGCTACCAAGTCCTCCTCCCCACAGCATTCCCCTCCTCCTCCCAACACCACAGCTCCAGGGAGAAAGGACCACGTCTCAGCCACCAGTTCTAAAACCAAATCTTTATTCTCTAATTTGAAAAGGAGGGTGGTAGTTCTGTTTAGTTCCAGAGAATAGAACAAGGCCCACTAGGTAGAAATTATAGGAAAGCAGATTTCATTCATTATAAGGAATAACTTCTAACAATTAGAATTACCCTACAATAGAACCAGGGCCTCAGGAGGTGGGGACTCCCTGTCACCTAAGTGTTCAAGCAGAGGCTAGGCATCCAGACACTAGAAATGTGGAAAAGGAAACTCACCCCTATCTCCCTCTGATATCAGCCAGGCAATCCTACTACGACATGTGGGGTTCTGGAAGGTGTGAAGGATAATTGGGGTGTTTAGACAAAACCCTGGACACAGGACTGCTGACAGCCAGGGGGTGCTCTAGGCATGGGGAGAGTCAGATGGGCCTGGCTGGTATGGCTCAGTGACTGAGTGTTGACCTATGAACCAGGAGGTTATGGTTAGGTTCCAGGTCAGGGCATATGCCCTGGTTGCAGGCTCGATCCCCAGGAGGGGGTGTGCAGGAAGCAGCCAATCAATGATTCTCTCTCATCACTGATGCTTCTCTCTCCCTCTCCAATCCTCTTTGAAATCAATAAAAATATATATATTTTTTAAAAAATCAAATGGGGTGACCTGTGCAGAAACCAGAACTGACCTCTAGGAAGGAAGGGAAGCCGAGACTAACAGTAGATGGGTCTCTCCAAGACTGGGTGCCAATGCAGGGGCAGGTGGGAGGGCTGGGGTGGGATGGGTCTGAGCAGCTTGGCTTCACCTCCCAGGGCTGCCTAACAAGGCCAACAGGTTCCCCCGCTGTATCCAGCTGGTCCGCTTTGCTTCCCAAGCGCTCTTTACTACGGACTGTACCACACCTACTTCCAAAAACAAGCTGAAGGAGTCAAAATAAAAGGCAGGGACATTAAGGCGTTAACACCAGAGAAGGGTCGTCCTGTCCACCGGTAGCCCCTCCAGCGAAGGGCAGACACTAAGGGGCGGGTACAGATGCTATTGCTACTTTTCCAGGACACAGGACAGCGAGGAGGGAACCTTGGCCAACCCCAGCTGGAGGCCGGTCCCTGTGCCCTGCAGGGGGCTCCCTGGCCTAAGGTGTGGAGGCTGGCCTCCCTCTCTAACAGGGCCTGCCCCTCCAGCCCTCGCTACACCAGCAGCAGCACAGGCCCTGCGGCCCCACTGCATCGCTTCCTCCCGAATGATGCCCCTGCCCTCAGATATCATGCTTCTTCTGATGGGCCAGGAGCTTCTCCTCATCGTCAAAGGTCTGCCCACAGATGGCACAGCAGAAGGCGCCGTCCCGGATGTGGCTCTTGCGGTGGGTGATGAGATTGGACTTCTGGCTGAAGCTCCTGTCGCAGTCGGGGCAGGCGTAGGGGCGCTCGCCCGTGTGGATGCGCCGGTGGGACACCAGGTTGGACTTCTGGCTGAAAGCTTTACCGCAGTCGGGGCAGACGTAGGGCTTCTCGCCGGTGTGGATGCGCCGGTGGGCCGCCAGGTAGGGCTTGTGGCGGAAGGCCTTGCCACAGTCCGGGCAGACGAAGGGCCGCTCGGGCGCGTGGTCACGCCGGTGGGCCGCCAGGTGGCTCCCCTGGGAGAAGCGGCGCCCGCACTCCTCGCAGGCGAAGGGCCGCTCCCCCGAGTGGACCCGGGAGTGGGCCACCAAGTGGGTCTTCTTGCCGAAGTTCTTCCCGCACTCGGTGCAGATGAAGGGCCGCTCCCCCGTGTGCTGCCGCTGGTGGGCCCGCAGGAAGCGCTCCAGGCGGAAGCTCCTGCCACAGTCCTCGCAGCTGTAGACAGATGGGGGCGCTTCCGCCTGGTCCCGGGGGCCCTCTCCGGGCGCCTCCAGCAGCGGCGCGGGGGCAGGCTCCTGGGCCGGCCTCGGTGGAGCCTGTGCGGTGGGCTCCGCGGATTCCCGGGGACCGGCTGGCAGCTGGGGGCTCCCTGCGCGGGCGGCGCTCTGGGTGGACCCCTCGGACCGCCTGTGGATCTTGCTGTGGGACAGCAGGTTGGGCTTGTGGCGGAAGCGGCGCCCGCACTCGGTGCACGGGTAGGGCTTCTCGCCAGTGTGGATGCGCCGGTGTGAGGTCAGGTAGGGCTTGTTGGTGAAGCGCTTCCCGCACTCGGGGCACTGGTGGGGCCGCTCGCCCGTATGCACGCGGCGGTGGGCGATCAGGTTGGGTTTGTGCCGGAAGCGCTTGCCACAGCAGGCACACTGAAAGGGACGGTCAACGGCGTCTCCCCCGGGCCGGGGGGCAGTCACTGCCGGGCGGCCCCTGGGCCGGGGCCCCAGAGCCTTGGCTGCTGCCTCCTCCAGGGCCTCGGCTACATGCACCCGTTTGTGAGCAACGAGCTGGTCCCACTGGGCAAAGCTCCTGCCACAATTGCCACATATGAATGGCCGGGCCTCAGGCGGAGGCGGATGGCACCTCCGCAGATGCACTCGAAGCTGCTTTCGTCGCCAGAAGCGTCTCTCACACTCCGGGCAGGCGTTGGGCCGCTTGGCAGCCGAGTGGGCCCGCAGGTGCAGAACCAGGGCCACCCAGCCTCGGAAGCTCTGCTTGCAGAGGTGGCAGGAGAAGCCCAGGTCTGGAGTGGCAGCCGCATGGACCTGGCAGTGCAGTGCCAAGAAGGGGGCGTGTCGGCAGCGGCGGCCGCATTCCGGGCAGGCCAGGGGCAGCCGGGCCTGGCAGTGTCGGGCATGAAGCCACAGGGCCACCCAGCCGGGGAAGTGCCGGCGACAGTGGGCACAGCGATGGACCCGACCTGGAGCTTGGCTGCCTGGCTGGGCCACCGAGGTACCTTGTAACCTCAGCCCGTGGGGCTCCTTCTCCAGGGTCTGGGACGACTCCCGGGAGGGCCCAGAAAGGAGCTGGGGCTGGGCCGAGCCCATGGCCAGGGGGCCCCTGCAGCGTCGTTCCAGCATCGGTTCTTCCTCTGCTGTGGGTGGGAAAGCACAGTCACACCAGAGGTCCACTCGCCCTGCCCCCAGTCCTCCCCGGCCACCCCAGCCAGAGGGAGCTCTCCCCGCTGGGTCCCTAGAGCCCTTGAATCTAGGCTACTCTTCTATATTAGTTCAATCTTGGGCTTCCAGACACATTGCAAGTGTATTTGTCATGAGTCTTATTGACCCTGACACTTCTTGGAATCCCCCTCCTGGCCGCCATGTGCCTGGCATGGAGTAAGCACTCCATATTGGCCGCACAAGCATTTCTGCCTCTCCGGAAAGCGCACCGCCTCTCTCCGCAGCGCTTTGTGCTTTTCCAAGTGCGGCCCTGCTGCCCTCTCCTGTCCCTGCGACTTCCTGTTGCCACAACAGCTTCACAGCAACTCTGTGAGGCTGGATGAGCAAACATGAAGCTCTGTTTGGTAGATGTAGCAACCAGGAGGTATAAAAGGTGGTAAGACTGGCCTGAGAGGACACAGTCAACCAACAACAGAACCAGGATTAGGTCTAAACGCCCAGGCCAGTGTTCTTCCCTCTGAAAACCTGCGTTTGTAATGCTCTCATAGAAACTGCTCTAGCCTTTCATTCCGATTATCTTCTCCCTGATGTTAATCACAGCAGAAGAAGGATTTTTCCGCCTCCCTAACTCCGTCTCTCAGGGTAGAAGCCAGGACAGGGGGGTGGGAACAGCCCTGCTGGGAACAGGAGGGGAGCTGGATGCTACTCCCAGCAGGAGGCCAGGCCACCGCCTGTCCAGACGGTGCCCACGTTCTGCCCACCTGCCCCCCTCCACCCACACATGCATGATTAGGGCACTGCGGAAAGGAACACTCACAACCTGCTCCCCGGGGGCCTAGGGCCCTGGCGCGACCTCCCTTGGATGGAAGGGATTATTGGGGCAAGAGCAGGGGAGGAAAGAAGAGGTTATGTCTGGTCCTGCCCCAACCCCGGCAAGGGCTGCCCCATTTTCAGGAACTCCAACCTGCCAGGGAGCCCAGATTCCTGCAGGACAGCCTCCTAAGCCCACTAAGGGGTGGATGGGGGTTAGACTCCTGTTCAAAAGCTCCAGACAAATCCTCCTAAACTCCCTAGAGTCTGCACTCCTCTGAGGATCACAGACATGACTCATTCCCAGCGGCCAGACTGAGAGCAGGGCAGGCTCCAGGATAGGAGAATGGGATCCTTCCCCCACAGGCACCCTTCCTTCCAGGGACGGCGGCCTGAGCCCGGGCGGGGGCTGTGGAATGGATGGGGAACCCAGTGAAGAAGGCCGGACTCTACCCTGGAGGCTGTGGAGCTGGAGATGAGGTTTTTTCCAGCTCCTGCTGGGGAGGCTCCTGCGGCTGTAGCGCCGGCTTCGGCCCACACTCCGGTGGCCCCCAGACGTCAGAGAAAACTGCAGGAGTAATGACACCCCTACCCCCATGGCAGAGCTCAGGCCTCGGACTGCAGAGAGGCCAGCCTCACCTGTGGGGAGGGGGGAGAAAGCAAGCGTGAGGCTCTGCGCTCCGCCAGGGCGGGCGGGCGGGCAGTCATCTTTGTGTCCTCGCCAGCCACCACCCCCTCCCCCACCCCAGCCCCACCCCCGGCGGCAGAGTGACCTTAATGGCTCTCATCACAGTCACAGATGCATGTGTCCCCTGCGCCGGGGACGCGCACCGCGGCGTCGGGGGTCACTTCCTCCGCCGGTCCGGTCACCGCACGGACTCTCCGCGCGGACGGCCCGAGGCCGGACCAGGCAGCAACTCCGGATCCCGGCGGCCCCCCTCCCCCCGCCCTCCTCCCAACAGGAATTCCAGGCCCGTTTCCCGGGGGCTGAGCTAGTGCCCGCGGCGGGCCAGCAGCCCCTGGGCGCCCCGGGTGCCAAAGGGCCGCGGAGACCCCACACCCCCCCTTTGTATGCGCGCAGGTCCCCGACCCACAGCCCGCACTCCCCTAGCGGGCGCTGGCGGACCCCCGCGGAGAGCACCTCGGGGAGCCGGTGCGCAGGTGCGCAGGCTCCCCCCCCCGCCCCCCGCCCCCCCGCTCCGGTCGGCTGGTGCCCCCCGCACCGCGCGCACACGGTCACGCGCCCGGCAGGCTGGGCCGCCCCGCCACGGCCCGCGCGGAACCCCGCGCCCGGCCCGAGACGAACCTCTCCCGCCGGGCGCGGGGAAGCGCGCTGCGCGTCCATGAGGCCGGACAGCCGGCGCCGGCGGCCGCGCTCCCACCCGCCGCGGCGACAGCAGCCGGTTCGGGTTCAGCACCGCCAGGCCCGTGCCCAGCCGCCCCCGCCCCCCCGCCGGTTCCCAGCGCCACGTGACTACAGAAGCTGCCGAGGGTCAGTCTCGGGCTCCGGCCGGCGGCCGCGGGCGGAGGGAGGGAGGGAGGGAGGGGCGGGTCGGCCGGGCAGCGCGGCCCGCCAAGTGCAGCCCTCGCGGCCCCCAGCGCCCCCTCGCGGGCCGGGCGGGGGGACGCGGCCGAGGGCCCGACTCCGTTGCCATGGCGACCACCGCCGGCTGTTCCGGATCGGCCCGGCTCGAGTTTCCCGGCCCTTTGTCCCCACGGAGGACGCGCGTCCCAGGGCGACCGCGTGGCTGGACTTGTCATTCGGCCGGACCCGGCCTCGGCCTCGGCCTCGGCGGCTTCCCACGGCTCCCAGCTCGCCCCAGCCTCTCCCTCGGGCACGCCCGCCCCGGCCACGCCCTCGCTCTCGGGCCGCCTTGACCTTGGCCGAGGGGTCTGAGCCGCGCTGACCGCCACCCAAGAGTCTGTGCAGAAGCGGAGGCAGAAGACGCCCGATGGCGTGCACTGTGGAAAGGAACGCCCTCTTTCCAGAGACGAGCGAAGAGGGGAGCGGAGTTCCGGGGCCGTTCGCGCTTCGGGGCCTCCGTTTGGAAGCGCGAGGCAGCAGGTTGGCGAGCGCGGAGGCAGGTGCGAGCCTGCGCCGCTGACTCACCCGCGAGCAGAGCAGGTGGCCTTCGCTTTCCAAACACACCCTGCCTGAGTTTCCCAGGCTCCTGCAGTCTCATGCTTTCCAGTAAAGGCCATTTTTTAATTGTACCAATATCTGAAACACTTTTACAATCTGTCCCATAAATAGGAAAAAGAATATAAACTCTCTCACACTAGAGTGAGTTACATTTAATATTTTGGTATGTGTCCTCCAATGCTTGTCTGTGCTTATCTGTGCCTATTGGACATAATTCGGATAACGCTTTTGCAAAGATGTATTCTGCCCTTTTCACTTAACACTACTGTGAATTCCCCCCCCACCCTCTGTTTTATAACATGATTCTTAACGGCAGCATAAATGTACGAATAAATTGTTCAAACTTTTCTGTTTTTCTGTGTCATTATAGATTCGTCTTTCGTGCCTCAGGCTCTATGAAGATGCCCAAGTATTGTTTAGAAGCAGCTCTGTGTCTGCAAGAGGGAAAATTCCACCCGCCTCTTGGAAACAGGCTGTTTCAGGCCCCGTTCATACACCCAACAAATATTTAATCAGTGTGCACCATCTGCCACGGCGCCAGGTGCAGGCCTGACCGGGAGCCAGGCAGAAACGGCCCACAATGCCTTCTGACCCTGGGTTAGCGGTGGCAGTGTCTCTCGGGTTAGTACATAAAATGGAATAAAGCCAAATGCTCGTTGACAGTTTCTGAGTGGATGCCTGTTGAAAAGCTAGAGGAGACTAGGGAACAGAGAGAAGAGAGGAAAACTTCATTCTAACGGAACTTACCTTATTGTCAGCTCCTGCTGCAGACAGCATCCTGAAGGCCGATTGGGGAACTCGCGAGCTTCTTCCAGGTGCTTCCAGGCAGCGTGGGCAGGAGGAAGAAAGCACCTGCGACCACGTTCACCTTGACAGAGGCCACCTCTGCTGGGAGGGCCTCGCACCGGCACCATCACTGTGCGTCCTCCGTTCCTAGAGCCGCCTCAGCCCGGGGACCTGGAGAGACAGCAGCCCGGGCACACCCTGAGCAAGGCCCTGACTGCCCAAGGCCGGCATCTCAGGTGAGAGCAGGCTCGCTAGGTCATGTGGAAACTCTTCCGGAAAAGATCAGTGTGCTTCTGCTGCTGCAGTCCTAAGAAGATCCTTACAGGCACCACACACACAGAGTGCCTGGCAAGGATGGGCCCTGGAAGAGCAGCCCTCAACTGGGAGCGAATGCCAGCCCGAATTCTGCAGCAACGGACGCTTCCTGCTGCAGATCTAGTGCCAGGAGTCTGTTTTCCTAAAAGGAAAAGAACTTAATTGGTCAGAAGGAAACCAAGGAGGGACCTCAGAGTTCCTGTACCAGCACCAGGGTTGCGAGGCCCCGCTCACCACTTCTCACCTCTCCCCACATCCACGGCTCCCACCTGGCCCCCCAGAGCTGCCCTGGAGCTCGGTCTCCCGAACCAGGTTAACCCTTTTAAACATAGATCAGGTGGCGTACGTCACATTTTGAAAACATCACAAACCACTGCCACAGCCTCTCCTGCTCTATCTGGCCTGGCCAGGCCTACCTCTCTAGCTCCGTGCCCTCGGGGTCCTGGTGGCCACTGTCCCAGCTTCAACAGCTCATGCCCCCCCGTAGGGCCTTTGGAGTTGCTGTTCGGTCTGCCTAGGATGCTCTTCCTCAAGAACTTCACTTTGTTCAGGTTAGAGTCCAAATATCCTCTCCTCAAAACATGCACCTCCCACCTGTGTACTCATCTCATTCCTGTGGCTACTGTGACAGATTTCCCCAAACGTGGTCGCTTAAGACAACACACATTGATTGCCTGGCAGTTGCAGAAGTCAGGCATCCAAAACCAGTTTCACTGGGCCCAGATCAAGGTGTCACAGGGCCGCTTTCCCTCTGGAGGCACTAACCGAGACTGTTTTCCAGCCTCTGCAGTCGCAGTCCGTGGATGCCTGGGTGCCCTTCTCCCTCTTCAGAGAACTGCCTTCTGTCCCTGCTGTGGTCCAATCTCCCGCTGCCTCCCTCTTATCAGGACCCTTACATCCAGGGCCTGCCCAGATCATCCAGGACAGTACAAGGGCAAATGCAAGTTAAAACTAAGAAAGACAAGCTTGCATTCCTGGTGCAAAAAGCGAGAGACTTTCCCCACAGCCACCACCCTTTCCTTAGAATACTTGTCATTGTGAATGTTTCTCTGTCTCTTTGAGATGTGTGTATACAGAAACCTCTTGCCAGCTTTACCACCCACGACTGTCTCTCTCAGGGACCTGGAAGCCATCTCTTTGAAATGTAAATCTCAAGGGAGACAGCACCCTGTCTCCCTGTCCCCATGGGAGGCTGGGACCCTAACCTGGGTGGACACCTGGCTCCAAGCTGCAAAACTACCTCCTGTCATAAAGGTATGAGAAGCGTGTTTTTCCTCTGGACAAAGGCAATTCACCAACACCCCCATTCCCAGGTGAATCTGGGATGAACTCTGTGTGACAAAGGTCAAGTCCTCTCACCGGAGGACTAGTGACAGTGTACCTGGAGAACATGTGTGTAACAGACTGCACCTGCTGGGCTGTGTAACAGGTGAGATTTCTTTCTGTCTTTGCAATCTCTTGGTGGACTTCCTGTGATGTGCATCTCATTCTGGTGTGGTGATCATTCAATAATAAAACTGTTTTGTGTTTTTTTCTCTTCTAACTTTGTGGGGAGCTTTCTTGGTTGGGTAGGCAATTTTGTGTTTGAATTCTATTTTCCCAACATAATCTCCCCATCCCAAAATCCTTAGTTTAATCACATCTGCAGTCCCTTTTGCCATATAAGATAACATTCACAGGTTCTAAGGGTTAGAACATAGACAAGCCCACCACCCACTCCTGCCCCATCACCTTCAAGCCCCCCCTACTTGGTCTTACTGTTCTTCTTAGCACTTATCACCTACTTGAAATTATTTAGGCATTTGTTCATTTAGATGGCTTGTCTAGTTAGCTACCACAACCAGGCCCTGGAAAGCCAGGCCCTGGAAAGGTGTCAGGCCCATGGTGGGTACCCAGTGTTTGTGGACCAAGTGAGTGAGGAAATGAAAGAGCTTGACCCCTTGGGTAAGTGAATTTGATTAGACCACACGAAGCTGCCTAAGAAGCAGCCTGAGCCCAGTGTTTACCTCAAACTCTCTCCCTTGGCTACTGCTTGTTGAGCAGGTGTTGGGAGCCCCGCAGAGCTGCTAGTTTAAATCAGTATGTGAACGAGGTAAAGAGCAAGAAACTCAGAAGAAAACTTGAGTCTATAACTCTCTCATTTGAAGGACTCATTGTTGGAGGCAGTGCCTTAAACATATTCTTCCATCTGGAACACTATTCCAGAATAACTGGAATGCAGGGTCCCCATCAATGATGTTTACCACCCTGGTCTTAGGACCAGACATTGCAAGAAAATGCTGGACAAATCCTCCCAGTGTCTCAGGGAAGAAAGGCTTGACTTTACCTAGAAATCTACATTTATACCTTTTTTTTTTTTTTTTTTTCTTTTTTCTTTTTTTTTCTAAATATATTTTATTGATTTTTCACTGAGAGGAAGGGAGAGAGAGATAGAGAGTTAGAAACATCGATGAGAGAGGAACATCGATCAGCTGCCTCCTGCACATCTCCCACTGGGGGATGTGCCCGCAACCCAGGTACATGCCCTTGACCGGAATCGAACCTGGGACCCCTCAGTCCGCAGGCCAACGCTCTATCCACTGAGCCAAACCGGTTTCGGCTACATTTATACCTTTCAAGGTCTAATCCCATCTATTATTACAATGCTATGTCTTGTTCAACTCCAGACTGGGATCAAATTATGTCTTTTTCAACTTAATTAAAAAGATGAATTTAGAAGCCAGGGTGTAACTGTTCTTGGTTTAAAAACACCAAGCTTGATTTGGAAACACAAGGAAATTCTAACAGGATCTCCACAGTCTTTGTAGTTGAGCAGAAGCGGGTATATTTTCAGGTGTCTTGTGTCCTGTGAGTGGCGTGTGCTGCTGTTGCGAAAGCCGTCTGCCCATGTTCACCGACAACAAACGCGCTGTCTCTAACCTGGGCTCATTCCTACCCAGACTCCTCTCCAATAAGACCACTTGGCGACTTGGAGGAATCCGAGTGTGAACCTGGCTTTTACTTGGTGCCTTCTAACAGGTTCCAAGACCAAATCTCGGTCACAGTTAAACTTGTTGCTTTCAGAGTTGGCCAGTGAAGTCTCAATATTCTCAGAATTGGGTAACTTTCAATGTATTACAAATGAGTTGTCTCTTAACAGGATTTATGGTTTATTTTGTGAGTGTTATTCTAAATTCCAACAATATAGCATGTTGACTACATAATAACAGTCTATAACATTACTGCATTCAATAAATAATATACTAAGTAAAATTAAAATTTTTGAAGCTTGAAAAATGCTTCATTTCCTAAGCATCTACACGGCCCTCAGTGCCTTCTTCCACTGGCTGAGGTGCCACTCATTATCCAAGTCTATGCTGGCTCTCAGCTCTAACAAACATGCATCTGGGTATAAAACCGTTGCAACAAATTGGCATGACTTATCGGTCAGATGCAGTTCTTAGGGTTAAACCAGGAGTCAAAAAATGATCACAGGTGACCACAAGAATGTAAGAAAAATAATTCCACAGCCTTAGGGAATTCCTACCAGTCAGCTTAAAGGACCTAGCTGATGCTCCCTGTTTCCATCTAGTGGTAGGTCTTCGAGTGAGATTTGAGGAGCTCATGGGGGCTGCGAGACTTTCAACTTAGTTATTTGGCTCCTGGTCACTTTGATTTGGGAAAATATTTTTCACTCATGAAAGTGACTTCTTAGATGTATTCAATAAATGTGAAAGTTCCTTTGATTCGTTTGCCGAATTTCCTTGAAAGAGCACAAATTCTAAAATGTAAATATTACGTTACGTTATTGTCAAGGTGCATCTGTTACCATACGGGGTCTGGGCCTGGAGTGGGTCGGCCTTGGGCCCACTGTTAGTGTGTGGGTTCTTGACTTGGTGTAGACGAGATTTCCCAACACAAGTCCAGGTGATTTTGAGAGCATGTTTATAAAACTGGAGATAGTGAGACAAAGGAAGAGCTTAACATGTTAAGCGCCATGTCTGTCACCAGGGACTGACACTATACTTTCCAGCCTAACCTCCTCAGTCTCCGGCCGCCAGCATATCGGTGAAATCAGATATCACGGGCTAAACGGAAAGGAAGACAGAACAGGCTTGGCGATGGCAGGGAGCCTAGGCTGGGCTGCTCTGGCTCTCTAAGAAATAAAAGTCACAGTAAAAGAAATGAGCTCACTGGGGTCTGAGAAAACGGGGGCCTTGGAGACAGGTTCAGGGGTAAGCCCAGGACGAGTTGCCACTGCCCACTGCTCCCCTAGTTGCAAGTATCCTGGGGTCCCTGAGAGTTTAGGAGAAAAACAGCAGCGATACAAGGCGTGGGTGTGCTTTAGTGAGAGCAAACAGTGGGTCCTTTGTCTTGAGGCTTTTTATCTTTCTGTGGCTGGCTGGAATCCCAGTGGGAGTCTCAGGGGAGGATCTTAACAGAATATTTATTAGCTTTTCAGGTGTGTCCTTTAAAATGTTGATTAATCAAAATGTGTGTATAGAGCCAGTGTGGCTCTGTGGGTTGGAACATCATCCTGTACTCCAAAAGGTGGCCAGTTCAATTCCCGATCCATGTTTCTCTCTCCAAAATCAACTTCTTTTTTTTTTTTTTTTTTTCAAAATCAACTTCTTAAAAATGTGCATATAGAGGGGTCAGGGGTTATTTTCTGTTAGTTTAATTTTAAAGAATGTCATCAATTGAAGAAGGATCAGGACCTAGGACATTCTGTCCCAGGACGGTCTCGAACGGGAAAACCATTTGTTCCGAAGTGTCCTTGGTTAGGGAATAGAAAACCTTGTGATTACTTAGCTGACTGTAAGTTGCTCAAATAGTTTGGCCTTATTTATTATTTTGGGGGTTTCATGTTATTATTTAATTATTTTGTCTGTTTCCCTTATTCCACTTCTCTAGGAATTCCCCTAGCTTCTTACTATCCTGCCTCACATCTATTGAAATCCAAATTTCAGTTTCTGCCACACTAAAACATTAAAAATGGCATCCTGACTTTGTATCTTTTTTGAAGATAAATGGTAGGATGTAAACACTTATTCTCAATAAGGCAAACATTTTTGGCTTAATATTAGTCATCTTAACCATGTTCGTTTGGCTCGCAAAGCACCTGATCAGTGTGTCACACGGACAAAACCTTGGCTTTTCAAATAATCAGGTTGAGTGCATAGCACCAGGTCTTCAGAAAGGGTCTCCCCTGTGTGTGTATGAGTCTGTCAGGGCTGCCATTCCAAGGACCACACACTGAGTGGCTTAAACTACAGAGATGTATTCTCTCACCGTCTGGAGGCCAGAAGTCGGAGGGGAACGTGTCAGGAGGGTTGGTTCTTCTGAGGCCTCTCCTTGGCTTGTTAATGGTGGGGCTCTCCCTGTGACCTCACATGGTCTTCCCTCTGTCCGTATCCTAATCTCTTCTTGTGAGGGTACCAGTCATATTGGTTTGGAACCCATCCATATGACCTCATTTTACCTTAGTTCCCTCTTTTAAGCCCATACCTCCAAATACAGCACATTCTGAGGTGCCAGGAGTTAGGCTGCAACATATGAATGTTTCTTTTTAAGTCACTCACAGGCTCTGACTAAACACGTGATTATACAATGTGGTTATCCCTATTCCCTTCTATAACTTTGTTGAAATGACAGTAAAAGAATAAAAAGCTCTAAGTTCACCAGGAGAAGGACAATGGGAGAGGAGACAACAGAGGATGAGACACTGACATGTGTTTTTTATTAAATATATTTTTACTGATTTCAGGGAGGAAGGGGGAGGGAGAGAGAGAGAGAAACATCAATGATGAGAATCAATGACCGGCTGCCTCCTGCACACCCCCCAGTGGGGATTGAGCCCTCAACCTGGGCATGTGCTCCTGACTGGAATCGAACCTGGGGACCCTTCAGTCCGCAGGCCGATGCTCCATCCACTGAGCCAAACCAGCTAGGGCCACATGACATGGTTTTTGTTTGTTTGTTTTATATCAACATGATTTATCAGTGTTGATATTGTACTCTTTATTTTACTTTTTAATATACAGTGGGGCCTTGACTTACGAGTGTCCCGACTAACGAGTTTTTTGAGATACGAGCCGTCTCTTGGCCGATTTTTTGCTTTGAGTTGCGAGCTAAAATTCGGGTTACGAGCCAGCTTCAGATACCCCACCGCTAGTTGGCGCAGCGAACATCACAGTGAACACCACAACATCAGCCCAGCATCATGTGTCTCACTCATTCACTTTTTGATTTGACATACAAGTAATTTGAGTTACGAGCGCCGTCACAGAACAAATTAAACTTGTAAGTCAAGACCCCACTGTATTTTATTGCTTTTTTTACAGAGAGGAAGGGAGAGGGATAGAGAGTTAGAAACATCGATCAGCTGCCTCCTGCACACCCACTACTGGGGAGGTGCCCGCAACCTAGGTACATGCCCTTGACCGGAATCGAACCTGGGACCCTTCAGTCCACAGGCTGACGCTCTGTCCACTGAGCCGAACCAGCCAGGGCCACATGACATGTTTTATAAGATGGTGCAGAAGGCATGGTGGTAACTGAACAGAGTTCCTATGGCATAGGGTGATCTGTGGGAGCAAGAGGCATCCTCTGAACCAGGGGTGGGCAAACTTTTTGACTCGAGGGCCACAATGGGTTCTTAAACTGGACTCAGAAGAAGGAGCTGCGGCCGTGTTTCCCGACGTTGCCATGTTAACACTGCTGCTGGTGAAGGAGCGGAGGGGAGAGCAAGAGAACCCTCCGCTCTTTCGGCTCCGTGGGCCGGATAAACAGCTGGATCTGGCCCGCGGGCCGTAGTTTGCCCACGGCTGCGAGTCTGAACCCTGAGGAGTCTCTGAACCAGAAGGCACCAGGTGCACGGGAGAGAGGAGCGAGGCTGGGGACATTGGAGGAACATCCCAGCCCTCCACCAATGCCAGAGACTAGAGTCTTTCCCGTGTGGAAGTGCAATCAGGTGAGGTCAATGGCCCAAATGAAAGCAGGAGGGTAAAGCCAAGGTGCCATGCTAATGTTGCTCTCAGCCTCTGACCCCACTTGGCACCCAGCACACAAGCAGCCACTTTCCATACATTTGCTCATTTTCTCTTCACAACCACCCCCAGGTCGGGTTTCTGATCCCACTATGCAGTGAAGGAAGCAAGAGTTCCAGGGGTTGGAAGTTCAATGAGATCCTCTATGTCCAGCATTAGGACAGGGCCTGGAAGCAGAGAAATGGCCCCCCTGGTTACTGATAGGCAACGTCCCAGTGCTGCCTCAGATTTGCTCAGCTGTGCAGGAATTGAACCAATTTCTGGACACTGTTTTCCTGACTCCCCACTGGCCCTATGAATTCCACCACAGATCCTGCCAGGCTCCCAACACTAAAGATAGGACATACAGGATCAAGGCTGGACTTGTGTGCTGGTGGTAGAGGTTGTCACACACCAGCGTCACCTCAAAACAAGATGCCTGCCCTGGCTGGTATGGCTCCGTTGGTTGGGCATCGTCCGTGCACCAAAAGGTTGTCAGTTCGATTCCTGGTCAGGGCACATGCCTGAGTTTCCAGCTGGATCCCTGGTAGGGGGCGTGCAGAAGGCAGACTATGAATGTCTCACTCTCATATCGATGTTTCTCTCTTTCTCTCCCCCACCCCCTTCCTCTCTCTAAAAATCAATATGTGTGTGTGTGTGTGTGTGTGTGTGTGTGTGTGTGTATGTGTGTGTGTGTGTATGCCTAATATGCAAAGTGTCCCCTCTGGAGTTCTACCGACTGGGAGTTCAACCTACCAGGAGTTCAACCACTCGCTATGATATGTGCTGACCACCAGGGGGTGGTGCAAAATGAAGGAAGGTTCTAGCCTGCAGCCTGCAGCCACTAGGGACCCTACCTGTGCACGAATTTCGTGCACCAGGCCTCTAGAGTGAGTGTGTGTGTGTGTGTGTGTGTGTGTGTGTGTGTGTGTGTGTAGGTTTTAGGGCATGGGAGTGGGGAGGATTGAATGATTCCTGATTCCTCAGGGCTTCATCTGGTTTGAGGATGTCTGTATTTCTGGGAAGAATGTCCTGAAATGGGTGTCTCCAACTGATCACTCCAAGGGGCCTAAGAAAAGGGCAGCCCTACCTGGAGGCAGGGGAGGGGCAGGGCAGTCCCATAGCGGGAGGGGAAGAGGGGGAAGAGTCCTCCGCGCCAAGACCTTCTAGAGCTTGGGCTCCTGGGCCTCACCTCACTTCTTCCCAGGCTTCCCGGACACCCTGCTCCCCGCCCGCCCGCCGGGGTGAGCGGCCAGGGTCAGGATCACAGGGCCGAAGGGCAGCGGAAGGGTGGGACGGAAGGAGAGGCTCGGGAGGGGGTACTGCCCCGGAGGCCAGGCCTAACGGGTCGGGCGGGGCCTCGGGCGGCGCTGGGGACTGGAGGAAGCCCGGTGGGTGGGAGCGGGAGGAGATGGAGGGAGGGGATGGAGGGAGGCGGGGCACGGGGACTGAGAGAAAAGGCTGACAGCCGCAAGTCGCCGCGGGAAGTTAGAATAGACTCCGCAAAGCACCAGAAAGGAGGTGAGGAGGGAGAGCGGGGGCCGGGGCAGCTGGATGAAGGAGAGATGCGAGAGGGGGGAGGAGAGGAGAGGGGCAGGAAGAGGGAATCGCGCCAAGGGCCAAGCTTGTCAACTTGTCCGACAGCCCTGGCTTTAAGGCAGCACCCTGGGGCTGAGAGGGGCGATGTGGAAGGCCCAGAAAAAAGACAAGGAGCGTCTGCCTGAGATAGCCAAGGGGGGGCCCAGGCAGGACCCCTTCTCTGGTTTAGGGGCTGGGCCCATGGCAACAGGCAGCCCCCGTGCAGGGACGGGTGAGCATCCTCCTGGGTCCCGCCCTGTTTTGGCCCTCCAAGTGTTTACATCCTTCCAGAAATATTTGGCCTCCTTTCTGCGCCCTCTTCCCCCTGCAGTTATACTGGGGGGGAGGGGGGGGGGGCGGGGGGGGGGGGGCGGGGGGGTGGGACCTGGGAGCCAGTAGATCCAGGGTGCGGAGGGGAAGCTGAGAGGGGCTCTAGGGGCAACTAGGGCAGTGGGGACCGAGAACTGGACAGAAAAGGGGGGGAGGGAGGGAGGGAGGGAGGGGCAACAAGAGTGTTTCCCTGGCTGTTGGCCTAGGACAAAAGCCTACTCAGCATCTACCCAGGCAGGGCAGGGCCAAACCCAGGCTGAGCTGGATCCAGGGAACAGTGGAAGGCAGGGCCCGGAAGAGGGAAAGGCAGGGGAATACCAGGGGAATCTAGGCAAAGGGCCACATCCTGTCCTGTCCCTCTATCTTTGCCCAAAGCTCTGCTAGACATGCCCCCCTCCCCAACCCCCAGTGCGGGGCCAGGGGGTCGGTGGCTCCCTTGGCTGGTATGAAGAGCTGAGAACATACCCTTTGCAGGACCAGGGTGACTGAGGTGAAGGCATGTGGCAGCTGCTGATCCTGCTGGCCCTGTGGCTGGGCACAATGGGCTTGGGCAGGGCTGAGCTCACAGCAGCCCAGCACCAGGGCCTGCAGGTGGCCCTGGAGGAATTCCATAAGCACCCGCGAGTGCAGTGGGCCTTCCAGAAGACCAGTGTGGACAGCGCCATGGACAAGGTTAGCAGCACGACCTCTGGAAGGGAGGGGGTTCGGGCCTCACCCCAAGAGACCCAGGAAGCAGGTGCGAAAGTGCTTGGGTTCTGTGAGCACCCGGCTCTGGAGAAAGGCCTCTAGCCAGCCACCAACTGGGTTGTGCTGTTTCGCTGTGGGGAGAAGGGACAGGTCACATTCCAGGAATTGCTCTGCCTGCTCAACTGGCTGCTGGCTTTCCTCTGTCTGTCTGTCTTGTCTGTCTGTCGGCAGCCCTCCCAGGCGGGGACCTTTGTGAGGCTGGAATTTACGCTCCAGCAGACAGGCTGTGGGAAGAAGGACTGGAAGAGAACTGACTGCAAGGCCAAGCCCAATGGGGTGAGTGGAGATGTGCACACGTGTGTGTGATGGGGCACGTGCTCGGGCGCAGGTGTATGTAATTGGGTTTAGTTGGAGATCCAGCAAGAAGCCTGAGGTTGGTGACCCCTCTGTGGAGCCTGTGGGTGTGACATTGTGGGGGGCCTGGGCCTGAGTCAGCAGGAGGGAGAGGTGGGCTACCGGCACTACCGGCACGGAGGACAACTTCATCCGAGTTCCTCCCCCAAGCTTCAGATCACTGGCAGAAGCCCATGGTGCGGGTTGGTCTGGCCCCAGACCTGGTGAATTCCGTCTTCTGTGAGTCTTCAAGTGGAGATGGCCCAGCCTAGTCTGATCCATAACAGGGCTTGACTGTAACCAACCATCTTGGGGGCAAAACCTGCTATTGGGGAACCCGTGGGCTGGGAATGCAACCATCCAGCTTCTAGACTCAGCTCTGCCAAGCACCAACCCTGTGGCTTTGCAACCCTGAACTAAAGGCCTCAGTTCCACCATCTGTTAAAGGAGGGGCCAGGTTATACCAGACATCTGTGCCAGAACCCTTGTTTTCAAATAAAACCTTACAAGAAAATGCAAATAAATATAATAGATGACAGGAGAGCGGGTCTGGTGAGCATCACTTGGGGAGGATTCCTGCCTACATACACAGAAGTCCCATAGTTTTGAAAACTGCAGGGTAGTTTGACTTCTGAAATTTCCAATCCAAGGGTGGGTGGGGCCTGAAACTAGCTGGTCTGCATGACCCTCACCCCTTTGCTAGGGTCTGCAGGGGAAAGGACCCCATTGCAGGCAGCTCCCAGCCTCCACCCTCATGAGGCCACAGGCTTTCCCTCACCCCTTTCTTCTCCTCGCCCCATGCCTCTCTCCCCAGAGGAAGCGGAAATGCCTGGCCTGCATCAAGCTGAACCCTGAGTTTAAAGTCCTGGACCGGATGGTCCACTGCCCCATAGAGATGCAGACTCGACAGGTAAGAGTGGGCAAAGGAAGAAGCAGAGAGGTTGGGGAGGTGGCTGGGCCTGTGGGGGAGGTTGAGAGGCAGAAGTCTGGTTGGAGTAAGGGCAGGGAGTGGAGGGTGGAGAGGGGTGAGGAGGGCTGAGAAGGATGAGGAGGGGTGAGGATGAGAAGAGGGTGAAGAAAGGTGAGGAAAGTCAAGGAGAGGTGAAATGGGGAAGGGGGGAAGGAGGGGTATTCCTTTGGGGCTGTGAAGGTGGACTGAGCAGAGGCAGACAGCCCTCCTCGTCACTGCTCCCTGGCCTGAGCAATGCTGGCCCTGGCAGGGGCCCAAGGAGCACCAGGAGGCCCAGTGCAGCAGGATTGAGCAGGCCCAAGAAGGAGCCCACAGATACTACTTCCCAGGACAATTTGCCTTTCTCCAACACCCTGCCTCCGGCTGAGGCCCTGACTGGTAGGCAGCCAGGAGGGCGGGAAGACAGTGGAGCAGGGACAGCCCTGGGTGGGGGTTGGGTGGAAGAGAGGGCTGGTGCTGGTGCAGGGGCTGCAGGAGGAAGGAGGGGAGGAACTCCTTAAGCTGGGACCAGGACCAAAACGGCCTTCCTCAAACCCAAATGTTGTTCTCCTTTCCTTTAGAATTCAATCTTGTTTTCCGGACAGCTGTGGGATGTAACCAGTGAGTCAGCCCAGGGAGATCATCTGATGACCCCCAAATTAATAAAACTGCTCTCAGAGCTGTTCTCTCCTCCCCTGCTTTGCGCACTCTTCTCCCCTCAGCTGGCTGGTAGGGTGGGGAGTGAGGAGAGGCTGGGCAGCTCACAGGAGAAAGCAGGACACCCAGAACGGGGGAGGGGCTTGTGTGCTCCTCCTTCCCACAGGAGACCGGAGGTGGCAGGGATCATCTTGCTCTCAGGAGCTCATGCCCATATGAAATGACGGGCACTGATGCAACAGAATTAAAACAGAAATATTTAATAGGGCTTAGAATGGGCAGTGAAGGCTCCCTGGAGACACGGGACTGGCGGGTAGGCACATCTGGAAAGGGGCAAATGCCAGCTTCCATGCTCTGTGCTCTGCTCATATCTATTTCCAGCACCACTGGGATGGGGGGCACTCCATCCCTTCCTTTGCCACCTTTACCCTTAGGGAGTAGCAGCTTTCTTCCGCCAGTCTGAGGCCTGAGCAGCCAGGAGTGGCAGACAAAGGCCTGGACCCTCCTCCCCAGGCGTATGGCATAGGTGGCAGGACAGACACACAGTGCCAGCTGCTAATGGAGGGTCCTGACACCTGCTTGAAGCCCAGGGGAAGTGCTTCCCTGAAGAACACAGGGATTTTCTTGAGGTAGGAGTGGGAGGGAGGGGGTCTGCTCCTAGGAACAGGGATAAATGAATAGCGCAGTTTGCAGGGACAGTGACCAGCGTGATGGAACAGTGAAGACAAGTGCAGAGGCAGGAGGGGAGATGGCTGCTGGGTCACACTGTGCCGACCTCATGGCCTTATGCCACGCTGTCCGGGGCCATGGGGCACAATTAGAAGACAAAGGAGGAGGCGGTACCCGCAGGACTGAGTAGCTGCTCGGCCTGGGCCAGGCTGTCAGCGGCCTGGCGGTCCAGGTCTCTGCACTCCTGCACCGTGTCCTGGAACTGCCGGCAGGCCTCCTCCAGGATGGAACTGCTCCGGGGCGGCCAGGACTCCCAGTACCCTGACTCCACCCAGGGCTGGGCCTCAGTGGTGCTGGGGCCTGGGCTGGAGCTGGGCTGCAAGGAGCAGTCCAGGTCCCGACACAGCTGGTAAAATTCACTGCCACGCCCAGTCACACGCTCACTGTCGATGACCTTCAGGCCTGGCAGCAGCTCTCGGACCACCGTCCAGTAGGAGGGACTGGTACAGAGAGGGTTGCTGAGCCGGGCCAAAGGGTCCCGGAGCCGCAGGTACTCCAGGCCCCGCAGCCCCGCCAGACACTGCAGCTGGCTAGGGGTGGCCAGCAGGTTGCCTGCAACATTGAGACTCTGCAGGTTCTCGCAGGCAGCCAGTGGCTCCAGCCCTGTCAGCCGATTGTTGGCAACATTGAGGACGGCCAACTGGCGCAGGGAGGCCAGGGGGCCCAGCTGGGTGAGCGCGTTGCCAGACAGATCCAGCCACTCGAGACCCAGGCACTCTCCCAGGCAGCCGAGGTCCACCAGTCCCAGGCCTCGTAGCTTCAGCAGCAGGACGGACTCCAGGGCAAACTCGCCCGAGCAGGACTTGAGCATCTGGGGGGTGATGCGCACCCCGTCGGCCTCTCCTGGCTTCTCACCCTGAGGCTCCATGAGACGACGTCAGTCCAGGTGGTCTGGGCCTTGACAGTCTGGGGGCCAGCTGGCTGTTCACTAAGGAAAGATAGGTAAACAGTAAGCAGGCCTCTCCTAAACACCTGTGACCCTGGAGCAGGTGACAGCATGAAGTGCCACCCACTCTCTGCTTCAGGGCCAGAAACCCAGGTGACCCAACAAGACCAAGGGCCCCCCTGAGGGAGGTGGCCAGGCCCAGACCTTACTGAGAAGACCCGACACAGCTTGTGAGCCACGCTGGACGGCATTCAGGTCCCGTGTTACCAATTCTCCCCATTTTCCAGATCTGCACTGGACAGCAACATCTCATACTTTTATTTTTCCCATAACCACTCATGGTCTCTCATTAGTTTTGAGGTGTTTCTTTTTACTCATTTAAATATATTTTTTAATAGATAATGGTCACCACCATCACCAGTCTCCTTTGTTCGCTCCCTGGGAGAGCCTTGCATATGCAAACATAAACAGGAGCACCTGGGCCTGGCTTTATTCACTCAAAAATGTTCCTGATGTCAGAGTGCAGAATCTCAGAGGGAAGGCGGGGGAGGGTAGGTGGGTGGGAGATAATCAACCAAGGACCTTGTCTACGGATATGCATGAGCCATGGACACAGGCAATGGGGCGGTGAGGGCCTGGGGGGTGGGAGGCGGGCTGGAGGGGGTCAATGGGGGGGGGAAAACGGCGACATATGTAATACTTTCAACAATAAAGAATGAAAAGAAAAACAATTTTTAAAATTTCCTGATGCACCTTTTTAAAATGTAAATTCAAAATGGTTTCTAGATTATGTGGGCCAGTTTATAACCTCTGGTCCTTCAGAGGACCAGCCTTCAGTCCTAGACAGGAAACTAGAGTAGAAGGAAGAAAGGGACGGTTAGCCTGGGGATAAGAGGCAACACTGCCAGACCCCCACCTCACCTCCTCCACTCCACGCCACTGCTCCAAATATACTCACCACACCTGTCCACACTAGTCCTTTACCAGTCAACAGAACAGCATCAACCACTGTTCCGGCTGCAAACATGACATCATTTCCAAAGAAAGCAAGGAGGCTGGAGAGGTGGGGCCCATCCTGGAGGGAGGGCAGGGTGGCACCAAAGTTGGCTCCAGAAAGGCAGGGTAGGGGCATTTCAAGTCATCAGTGGCTGTGGGACAGCAGCAGCCCAGGTGCCAGTGCAGAACGAGCATGAGGGAGGAGGCCTTGGGGAGGGTCCTGCCGCCCACAGAGGGGTCAAGGTTTCAGCAGAGAAAAACAAGAAGGGACCTCTGCTCCAAATGGCAGTTTCCCAACTCCGCAGACTTTGGTCAGGCCCAGGCCATGCACTGACGCCTGCAAAGAACTATGGAACCATTCACTCCTGTTGACAAAACCTGGGCCTCCCAGAGTGTCAGCAGTCCCCAGTCTGCGTTTCCATAATCAAGGCCACTTAATATTTTCCCCTCTCCAAGGAAACCAGGCTCAGAGCTCCTCCCATTCCTCTGCCAGGAAGCTGGGAAAGCTACCAACAGCGCTTCCCCTCCCAGTCCCATCTCTGAGAAGGGGGTCCCTACATCTCTATCTAGCTCTCCTCTGGTCTGCAACTCTCCAGCAAGTTCTCATTTCGATTGCATTTCTTTCCAAAAGGGACTGGAGGCATCTACTAGGAAACCTGGTTCACTCTACACAGACAGGATCTGCTGGGTTTTGCCAACAGGCAGTAGGTAGTCCCTTGTGCCTCTGGTTAAAACTGCTCTGGCCCAGAGCATGGGTGCTCAAGGGGCCCTAGACACCTGCACTAGTGAGACAAGGACCTCACTGAGGGCAGTGGAGCGATACAGAGGGACGAGGGTCTAGAATAATAAAACATGCACGGATCTGGCCAGGTGACTGGATGCAGGGACTTCCTTCTCAAACACTCAGGACACAGATGGGACAGCCTAGGGGGCAAGACCTTGTCTGAGGTGACCATGGGGCATTGGGCTTAGGAGACAGATGATGCTCTAGGCTGAAGGCATGACCTGCACAGGTGCCTGGTGAGAGCGTGTGGCACAGCTGGCCAGGCTTTTGGGGACACAGACCTCTTCCATTATCTGTAGGCCTCTCTGCAGGAATTTCCATATCCTCCCCAATCCTCCCCAGACATGCATTATTTGATGGTGAAAGTGGTCACTATTCACGTGGTGTACAGTGGAGAGGTCAAGGGCGGAATTCCGGACACCAACCTTTACGAGGCTGAATGAGGATATGGCTGAGCAGCAAGAGGGAGAAATTGTAACTTTCAAGGAGAGGATGATCAACACTGTTCAAACACCACACCGGACTCAGGGGCATTCTCAGACAGAGGTGAGCCACAGCAGCCTGTGATGGTGAGGGCATGATGCCCTGAGGGACTGGGTGATTGTTCAGATGAACGTGGTGGCTACAAAGGGTGAGAAAGATCAAGGGGAGTGGGCAGAGCAAGGGAGACAGACAGAGAGAACTATGTGTCTGCATCCCACCTTAAAGCTGGGATGAAGGCTTTTCGCAGAAGAGGAAACAGTGGAGCAGAAAGATCATGATGAAGCTAGAAATCGGGCCTACCAAGGCCCATGCCCTCCAGCAGCCGTGGGTATCACCCCGTCGCCTGCGGTTACACAACAGCACCACGTTGTTCCTCCTGTGCCACAACCTCTGCTCTTCTCATGGTCCCCATCTTATCACAGATCTGTACACCTCAACCAGACAGGTCTGGGCAGGACTGAGAACAGCCTGTGTCTACCCATCTGTCCAAACCCACCTGCTGTGATGCACAAGCCAGCAGCAGGCTCTGCACAATGGGAGAATGACTCCCCACCCCCACCTGTCAACATTTCTCTAAAAAACGGGAGTCCTCCTGGTCTTGTTATGCAAATGAGCCAATAGAGGCTCTTGGCCCAACATGTGAGTCTGCACCAAGAACTTGGTTGCACGGATGAGACAGCGACTAAGACACATTGACCCTCGGGTCTCACAGGGAGGCCTATCTGCCTGTGCAGGCAGCCTCTGCTGAGTGTCAGTTTACCTACGTAGGAAATGGGCCAGAAAATGATGCCCAGGAGTCAGCCAGGGCAGAGCTAAGTCTAGGGGAGAAATGGTTCAACCCAGAGCAGCCTCAGGGGACAGGCACCAGGCCACTTTGGTGAGCTGGGGACCTTCCTCACCCATTTCCTCCACGTCCCAGTCTAGAGCAGGGTTCAATCCTGGCACTATTGACATTCAGGGCCGCTGAGTGTTTGGGGGATGTCTTGTGCACTGCAGGGGGTTTAGCAGCATTCCTGTTTCTATCCACAAGCTGTGACGACCAAAATGCCTCCAGATATTGCGAAATGTCCCCTGGGGAACAAAAATGTCCCATTGAGAACCACTGCTATGCCCAAGCTTAGGACCATCACACTTCTGTCTCATCATGTTCCTTTCACTCCCCAGCTCCCTCACATGCCTGCTCCTCCATCCCAGCCTCTCTCTCTCCGAGAATACCAGAGCCAGTTCAGTGATGCCAAACAGCACAGGACAGCACCTCTCCTGAGAACTGCCTAGGACAACTTTAAGGCACATCACATTCTTGCCCCCACCCCCAACCCACTTAATCAGAATTTGGAAAGAGGGATGGGACCCCAGGGTCTTAAGACACTATTAGGTGGTGCTCATTCAAGTCTGAGCCACACGTACATTTAAGGGAGGCAGGCACCTAGAGGTCCAGAGCCCATGCCCTGATCTTACTACCCAATGCACTTGATTTGGCGTCAGCATGGTGAGGAGTACAGCCACGATCCCAGCCACTCACCCACAAGCTCACCTCAGGAAGCCTGTGACATGCCCTCCTAAGAGCTGGGGGAGAGGAGTCATGGCCTAAACACCTGGAGGCCAGACTTTAATTCAAATCATGCTACTCCAACCATTAAATGTGATCTCTACAAAGCTTTATATAAGTAGGTACATTATGTACTATTAAAATGAAAACACAGCATACTAACTAGTCCAGGGGGTATGATCTCAAAATAAAGGAAGTATGTCAATGTATTAACAGAGGTTGAATGAAAGGATTATGGTTAATTTTTCCTGATTCCTCATATTCAGCAACTTACAAATGCCCTAAAGTGAATCAGTCTTAGTGACACAGGACTGACAACCCCTCTGGGGGAGGCTAGGGGCAGGCCTCCAGGTTCACCCTCATGGCCAAAGTGCAAGTTAGGCCTTGAGTACCTCCCCCTGCCTCTACCTACTTCCCCTCAGCGCCACCTCTCCTAGTGGTCCAGCACCTCAGGAGAGCCAGATTTGGGTCTTGTGGGGTGTGACAGGCCTGCTCCTACTGTCTTCCTCCGCACCTCCTTCCTCTCCCACCTGAGGCCACCAGTTCCTGGATCCTACCCGCTCAGCTCCTGCACTCTGCCCTGCTGGAACTCTAGGCCAGTGGTCGCCAACCTTTTGGACCTCACGGACCGCCAGTGGTCCACAGACCACCCGTTGGCGACCGCTGCTCTAGGCGGTCCATTACTAGTTGGTCTGATACACAGCCTTTCTGGCTTCCAGATAGGGATTTGCCCTCTAGAAGTGGCCAGGGACAAGGGGAGGTGTGGGTGAAATATATACTTCGCCACCTAGAGCCTGCTGAGCATGGAAGCTTTCTGAGACAGCTAACACCATAGAAAAGAAGAAACCCCAGGTCTCCAGCAGTGTGGAAACAAACTATAGGTAAAAACAGTTTAAAGAATGAGTGCCTCAGCCCTCCTCAATTCACTCTTCTTCAGTAGCTGGGCAGTCCTATTAATCAGAGTCCTCCGGCCACCATGGGGTCTAACAGGAAAAAGTACAGACCCTAAGAAGACTGATGTGCACATGCATGCGTGCATACACCTCCCTCTTAAAAGGGCTACTGTATCTCAGGGTTTATTTCTTTCTACAGTGAAAGCAGTTTCAGAAAGAGCTTTCATAGCTCACCCACGTGGCTGAATATATATCCCACTGAGTATATATGCCAGCACCCCACAACCCTTGTCCCTGCCTCAAGAGAAAACAGGCCTCGCCTTAGCCAGTTTGGCTCAATAGATAAAGCATCAGCTTGGGGACCGAAGGGTCCCAGGTTAGCGTCTGGTCAAGGGCATGTACCTGTTACAGTTTCAATCCCTGGCCCTGGTCAGGGCATGTGTGGGAGGCAACCAATCGATGTGTCTCTCTCACATCAATGTTTCTGTCTCTCCCTCTCCCTTCCACTCTCTCTAAAAATCAATGGAAAAATATCCTCGGGTGAGGATTTATAAAAGAGAAAAAGCAGAATTCTGAGGGCAAGTATACCTTGACATACATAGATAAGCTGCATGTTGGGCCCTTAATAACTACCAATATTTCAAAAGAGCAATAATGCTTATAAAACTGTATAGCACAACTCATAACAGGGTAAACCTTCCCTATGCACATAGTGCTAGAAATAAATTAAGCAATGGGTAGGTGGAAAATTCTACCTTCCAGACAAAAAAAAATAAACAAGGCAATCTGTCAAGAACTGAGAAACTGTCCCCATTCTTCTCAAATAGGTTTAAGATTCTGGCTGCCTTGTCTGATAGCCTAGATGCAACATCTGCTCTCTCCTTTCATCTACAGCAAAGTTTCTCCAGGAAGATTTTGAGGGCATCCCTGGTCTAGTCCCCCTAGGCCAGGTCCCCACTGGGGAAGATAAGAGGAGAGGAGGCACAGTTGGGGAAATTCTCCAGGTTGGTCTTCAAGAAGAGATACTCAACTGTTTCCACTGGGAGAGGGGAGTTACTCTCTATGATGGTGGGACTATCCAGGGAGGTAAAGACACTTCCAGAAAAGGTGCTGGTAGCAGGACAAGACAGATAGACAGTGGCCAGTTGTGCCAGGGCAGGCCAGACTTCCTGCCCCTTCTCCCAGTAAGCCAAGGGGTCCTCCTGGGCGCCAACTGTCTTGTTCTCACACAGGTACTTCTTGACAATGACTGTGGCAGGTGGTTCTCGGTGGAGAGCGAAGCTGTTTCTCTGGGATGCTAGCAGCCCTACACTTTCCAGCTGCTCCAGCAAGCTATTTTCCCTCTGGCCCAGCAGCAAACTCAGATCTACTGCTTCTCCACACAGGCTCCTTCTGGCCCTTCCCCTCAGCCCTGGGGCCCTTGGCTACTCTGCCACTCCAGGTGGTGTTCACATAACCTTGGGGTTCTGCAGGAAGGGTGGGGGAGACAAGGAGTATTCAGACACCTTAACCTCCTTCACCTTGTACATGAGAACTTGCTTCCAGTGGTCAATGTCGGCCCCCACAGGCAGGATGGCCTCAATCTGGCCCTTGAAGCGGGGGGTCCAGTAGTCGCCAGCATGAACTCCTCATGGTGGAAGAGCTCACTGAGCTGACAGTCTGTACAGAGCTGCAGGGCCAAGCCCTGGGCCAACCGGATGGCTGCACCCATCTCCCCACCACTTTGCTCCTCCAAGTGCCTCTGACCCTGCTCCAGGAAGATGTGCAGGGAGCGCAGTTTCGGCAGCACCTGACTTAAAGAAGCCGGCAGATTGCTCGCCTCCTGGACCACCACCTGGGAGAGCCGCAGAAGCCTGACCAGGCTTCCGACAGGCTCCAAAACTTGGCTGAAAGGGCCATCCGGCCTTCCCCGGCTAGTGCTTCTCCTCATACTCTCGCAGTGGCCGCTTGTGCTCCACCAGCCACTCCATCAGGTGGGAGGCTGAGACTCAGTGGTCCGAGAGCTCCCAAAGGGCTGATGGGTTGGGAGGCCACACTGCTGCTGCAGCTGCATGAGGAGCCGCCGGGCTTCTGCAGAGCCTTGGAAATGGTTGCAGATGGCCCTGGCCGTGCCATCTGGATGATCTGGACACTATGATGGTGACACAGAAAAATTTCTCACCAGAGTTGAGGCAGTGAGCAAAGCAAGGAATGTGGGAGTAGCCCCCCGTCGCCACTGCCTGCTCCAGGTTGGGGCAGCCACTTGATACTGGGCAGCCTGGTTGCAGGGAGTCATGGCCCAGCAACGGGGTGAGCTGCTCCTGTAGTTCCCGCTGCCTGTCCTCCACAGTGCTCTCCAGGGGCAGGCCTCGGACCTAGAGCACTGCTTGCTTCCTGGGGCTTCCTGACACCGCCTGACAGCTATGGGGCTGTATCACCCCCCACAGTGGGCAGTGATGGCCACATAGTCCTCTAGGACCACTTCCTGAGCTGCCGAGGACAGGGCCAGGTGGACGTGGCTGCCTTCAGTCCACCACATCTCCCGAAGCACCTGGTCACCCATCGCCTCGCGGAGCAGAGGCAAGGCTTTATCAGAGAAGGATGGAGATGGCAGGCAGTAGCAAGGGTCAACCTGGGTCATAAACCTTTTGAAGGGTGCGGAAGGAAAAAAGGAGAGAGGCAATGCCAAGCTGCAGAGTAACTCAGCAATGCTCTGGTGCAAGGCCTGGGAGCGGAAAGGTTTGGGAGCATATATGCCACCTCAGTCCTGCCTGCCACTGGGGGAGCAGCAGATTCATCTTTGATGGGCGAAGGCAGGGGTGATGGAGCCAGTAACAGCTGCGTACGCCTCCCTGGGGCCCACTGCCTGTCATTGTTTTCTGAGGATGTCATGTGGGCAATGTCCTGATGATGGGAGACCCTCATGGACAAGGCTGGTGGCCCTCGCAGGTAGGCCCTTCTGCTTCTCCACCACCCCTGCCCCCTTTCTCCCTGGACTGGCTACAATTGGCCTTCTTTCCCTCCCCAGCCCATTCTTACCAGGCGACAGACCAGGCTTAAGGTTTTGGACTGCTTCTTAATTTTGCCTTGTCTAATGGTGGCGTGACACAGAGTACAGGTGACTTGGCAGGTGTTCTTACAGACAATGGGAAAGAACTGTCTGACATCCAACGCGGGCGTCGGACCTGTGGTGTCTGGAGTGCCTGGGGAATGCCCTTGAAAAACCCAGTCCTTGGTCTCTTTCATAGTTCTGACCAGCTTCTTCAAGCAGGGTGACTGCTGGAGGCTCAGCGGGGATGACTTCTCCCCGCTAGGAAGCAAATGCCTCTTCCACTTCTTGAGGCATCGTACCTCTCTGTCCAGACAGGCCCTGAGGATGTCAGCTTGCCTCACCTTCTCATTCTCACTAGGCTGGCCCACCTCTGACCCATCACTGGGGTAGAAGGGGCCGGGCCAGAGCTGAGCCGTGGGGCTTTTGACTTCTTCCTGCCAGTTGCCCCACCTCTCTCCATTCACAGGCCTTCTGTGTGGACACCTCCTCAGGCTGCAGAGGGCTCCTGCCCAAGCCCAGATTTCACAACACAGAGTTCAGTCTCCCTTTGGCCTATTCTGCCCCCGGCTGGCCTGGCTCTTTGCACTAGTTGAGTGAAAACCAGGCCTCCCCAGTGTGCAGGCTCTTCTCTCCCTGCTGCGGATGCATTGGCCCAAGGTGCCTTCCTCCTGCTCCTCCAGGGAAACTTGATCAGTGGAAGAGCCACTGGGGAAGGAGTGGGGTCTCTTCCTTCGCAGGGGAAGATCCCTCTCACTCCCCTTTTGGGAGCCAGATGTTCTGATCTTTCTGCGACCCCTGCTGGCCTTCTCCTCTATGTCTACCCTAGGGGGCAGACCAGGGCTGAGGTTTTGACCCGTCTCTGGCAGGTCCTCCCTGGCACCCCAGCCACGTCCACAAAAGGTGTTGGTAGCTCTGGTGTTGAACTCAGAGCCAGGAGAAGTCATTGTTGCAGCTGGACCCTGGGGTCTGGTCATGGGGGGACAGATCCTGAGGGTGTATGTCTCCTGGGGGGCTTTTTAATTTTTTCCACTTCCAACATGCTTGGGAACTTGGGGAAACAAGATGGGCCCAGTCTGCAAAGCAAGATGAAAAGAATGGCTCTCAGCTGCCCTACTCAACTCTGGAGAACACTGAGGGGGAAGGTGAGGCCTGAGGGGAGAGAAGACGGCAGAGGACAAAAGGTGTAGAGAGATGATATGAAATCAGCCCCAAGACAAAACTCTCAAGACCTCAGCCTCCTTGGAGAAGGCTGCCATTCACTCCCCAGACCCAATGGAGCAGCTCTCAGCTCAAATCCCCACAGCGCTCTGCACATTAGTGGTTTCTGCGTCCATCTTCTTTGCCAAACTAACTGGTGTTTCTCTTTTTTCTCTCAATGTTTATTGAGAACCTAGTGCGCACTTGGCAATTCTCCTGTGCGGTGGACACAATATACAGCAGGCAAGGCCACTACATGCATATGTAGGGACAGACCTGAATAAGATTCACTCACAACAGGGAGAATCAGCGCGGGGGTATAGTATGAAGAGGCAGGCGCAAGGCTGGGAGACCTCAGGGAGGAGAATGACCTTGCCAAGGAGTCAGGCGTGTTTCCCTATAGAGACACAGGCACCAGACACTCTAAGTGCAAGCCAGGAGGGGGCAGAGCCTACCAGCCTCTGCATCCTGAGCACTTGGTTGTACCTGGCACACCGCGGGCCACCAAAAATAGGTAACATAGCTCATTCAGGGGTGATGCAGCCTGAGACTTCCTAGGCCAGAGGCCTGGCTCAACTCATCCTCCAGCAGAGAACACAGGATGGGGTAGCTCCTAAAGCCAGTGACTCTGGCCCCCTCATGTCCTCTCATTCTCCTTTCTCTGTCACAGAGACACTCTTGAAGGGATGGTTATAGTTTGTCACCTCTTGTTCCCCTCAAACCCTTCTCCTCTCTGTCTCTGGCCCCCACTGCTCCTAGTCACTCTCTTGCCAAGGCCCCCAGTGACCCCAATGGACTTTCTGTAACCGAAGCACCTGCCCACGGCCTCCGTTTGGAGACTGTCTCCTCACGGCCTGAGACACATTTTCTTGGTTTTCCTCTCATCTGCACCTCCTCTTCAGTCTCTGTCTGGTCCTTTTCCCTCTGTATATCCCTTAATGATGTTTCCTGAGAGATTATGTTCTCTCATTCTACACCTTCTCCCCACCCGGGACTGCGTTTATACACCAACTACTGTCCAGCCTCTCTGGCTCACCTGCTCTTTCTACAGCCAACTCAGACAGACATCTGTCCACCCAGATGCTCAGACCCCAAACCTAGGCATAATCCTCAACTCCTTCCCCCTCACTCATTTTCCTGGAGGTTAGGTCAAATCCAGAGCTTTCAAAAGGAAAGTGTCATGAAGAAGTCAGAAGAGAAGTATGTGGAGAAAAGAAAGGAAAATGAAAGGGCCTACTGAGGTAGGATGTTTCCTCAGGAGAGAGAAGATTCAGAGAAAGATGGTTTAAGAAACTTCAGGAAGGAAATAGTCTTCCTCTTTTCAGAGCAGAATGAAATGCTGGCTGAACAAGATTTAAAACCAGTACATTCTGACTCTGATCTGGGTAGATCCCTGGTGACCATTAAGGATCACCAGGGATGCAGGACTGCCCCTGCAGGTGACAAGCCCACTGAAGAGGCTCATGTGAGACTCTGCCCAGGGAGGAGTGTGGGCAATGCCAAACTGAGAGGCTCCCTCCAGCTGGAAGAGCCGCAGAAGGAGTAAGAGGCAATGACCTCATGCCCATCATGCAAGAGCTCATGATAGCATTTCAGAGGCGGTGCTATATGAAAAATTCATTTAAGGCTAGTGGGGGGTAGTTCGATAAATTTAAGAAGTGTTTATTTACAGATTAAACAATACATTAGGCATGTATTGTATGTAAGAAAGGTTAACGGGGAATCATTTTTGGGGTCTAGAACAGATTAATTCAATTTACATTATTTACACCAAATCACATGTCTGAATCCCCCTGGAAGGTGACGCTGTGGAGGGGCTGAATAAAGGTGCGAATGAGAAACAAGACACTATTCTGGTCCCAGAAAAAGTGCTCTAGGGTGTCCGAACTGGAGGGGACTTACCTCGTTATTTTATGACTGAAGAAACAGAAACCCAGAGTGGTAACGTGGTCAGTTACCACTCTGGGTCAGTGGCAGAGCGGAAGACTAGAGCTGGCACTGGGCCTCCAGAAGCAATCTGCAGGCTTCCTCATTACCGGGAACACAGAACCAGATACTGAAACCAGGCCTGCATGTGCCCTGCCCTCACCGACGATGGTAGAGAAAAGGAAAGATCCTGTGTGTTAAGGCCACAGCCTGGGTCACACCAATCCCATTTTGTTCCCCCATTAGCCTTGTCCCCTCAATTTATCTGTATTCTACAGGTAAATTATAAAAAATTATCAAATACAAGCACACCTTGTTTCTCAAATGTCTCCCATCTCAAACTATTCGGTTCTCAACCAAGTTGTTCACAGAAAAAAAATGTTTTAGTTGTCAATCAAAATGTGTTTTTGACCTGACAACCCTTTCATACTGATACGTGAGCATGACAAAAAGCATCTCTTAGGCAACTAAGTAGAGAATGCTTTTGTTGCTGGTGAAATCGAGGATTAGCACAATTTTAAAAGCAGACAAAGGCCATCAGGAGTGCTAATATTGTGCCCAGTCCGGTGTGGCTCAGTGGTTGAGCATAGACCCATAAACCAGGTCAGGGCACATGCCTGGGTTGCAGGCTTGATCCCCAGTAGGGGGCGTGCAGGAGGGAGCTGATGGATGATTCTCTCTCATTATTGATGCTTCTCACTCCCTTTCTCTGAAATAAATTTTTAAAAATATTTTTAAAGTGCTAATGTTGCTGAGGGTGTGGAAGTGCTCACAAAAACAACAATCACAGACAAATGAAAAGGCAGAAATACTGTTGTTGATTGGATAAATGAAAAGCAGTTCGCTGGTGATAGCATTTCAGAGGCAGTGATATATGAAAAATTCATTTAAGGCTAGTAGGGGGTAGTTCGATAAATTTAAGAAGTGTTTATTTACAGATTAAACAATACATTAGGCATGTACTGTATTGTTAATGGGGAATCATTTTGGGGGTCTGGAACGGATTAATTCAATTTACATTATTTATAATGGAAAAAAATCGCTTCTCTAACAGCCTTCTAGAACAAATTAGGAGCGAGAGCCCAGGTTCCACTGTATCTACTATGAGTCAGCACCGTACCCTAAAGATTCGAATACAGGAGAGTAACTTCCTGGCTGGCACTCGGAGCTCATGATAAGAAGACATCCTGGAAATGGGCTCATGGCACTGAAGCAAGGCAAGTGGTGGGAGGTGCTGCAGAGGGGGCTTCGGGCTGACCTTGAGGTCAATCTAGTCTATGATAGTGGAATTCAGATTCAGTCTTGTAAGGAGTCGCATACTTTAGGCTGCTGCTTCAGGATCCTTATCTCCTGGGTAGATCCAGGATCTTATGCAGTCACTGCCACGTAATCACCCTTCTCTTCCACTGAAGCACATCAGATGATAGTGAGGCTGACACTGTAAAAAGCCAACGCTGAAACTCAATGAATATAAAATATTCAGCATTTTATTAGTGAGAAGTTACTGTGACACTTCTCACAACAGGTGACAAACGCACATTTGAGGACAACGACAAGATGGAGACTCTCGGGCGGGCTGCACACCCGGCAGCGGGGCCACACTGGAGGCTCGGCTCTGGGAAGCAGGAGGTAAGAAGGGCTGGAGCAGGTAATGCAGAGGGACTAGAGGGGAGGGGACGTTTGAAGAGCTATTCAGGAGGCATATTCTGCTTGAGTTGAGATGGAGGACAAGGAAGAGATGAGATACAAGGGGATTCCCTTATGATCAATATAGTTCAGTTTTAGAGATACTGATTTTAAGGTTCTTCTGTAACAAATCTTCAGGAATAGATGTGACAGATACATGGGTCAGGAGACAGGTCTGAGCCAAAGATATGGATCCATCTAAAAGTCTCCTTAGAAACAGGGAAAATGCCAGAGGGAAAGAGTGGAGAGTGGTTGCCCCGGCAATGCCGACACTGTGGGGAGGGTGGAGAATGAGCAGACTTCAAAGATGACTGACAGGCAAAGGGGGGAGACAAAGAAAAACATAAAATGATGTTAGGGAAGCCAGGAGGTTTTCCAGAAAGGATAGATAAGGTCAAAGGTCAGTGGATGAAGATGGAGCCCCGGGCTGTGCAATAAGTGGTACTTGCAATGCCAGGAGTGGTGGGAAGGGAGGGTTACGCTTTGGGATGGGAGGGCAAAGGCTTGGCTGTGTCTCTAAGCAGAGCATGCATGTCAAACTTGCGGCCCACAATGAATATTTTTGCGGCCCAGCCAATATAACGGTATGTAAGAAACTTTTTAATAAAAATTTCATAACTTAATTTTTACAATATCCTGTTATACATAATCTATATATATAAGCTTAATTTTTACAATATCCTGTTATACATAATCTATATATATAAACCTAATATGCTAAGTGTCTGACCAACTGCTCGACCATTCGGTCAACGGCTTGATCAGTCGCTATGATGCGTACTGACCACCAGGGAGGCAGATACTCCAACCGGTAGGTTAGCTTGCTGCTGGGGGTAGATCAGGACTGGGCAAGATGGGCTGGACATGCCCTGGAGCCCTCCCGCGCTGGCCAACCTCCCACAGTCCCTATCAGGACTGGGCAAGATGACCTCCTGTGCACAAATTCATGCACTGGGCCTCTAGTTATTAATAACGAACTACAGCATTCACTAATGATTACTATAATAGTATTGAATTCATTTCCCTTACACGCCTTACACGCGGGCACATCATTTCTCTCCACTAATACTAGCAGCGAATATTTTAGCAGCCAACTGCCACGTCATTAGTCTTGGACTGACTTGTTTGGTGTGCACAACAGGAAATATTTTGCTTTTGGAGAACAAGAAAAATAGGTTTATTTGCATTATGCTTATTGATTTGTGCAGTTATCCAAGGTCTGGTAAGTTAATGTTCAAGAAAAAATATTAATTTGTATTAAAATGTTCTATTTTTTTATGTTAACAATTACTCATTTCAGCCCTTTGTGTTCAGGATGTCTCTATCAAAATAAACCTACGTTTCTATGAAAATTGAAGCTTTTGGGTTTTTTTGCACTATTGACAAAGGCCAGCCACTCCATCAGGTGGGAGGCTGAGACCCAGTGGTCTGAGAGCTCGAATGGGCTGATGGGCTGGGAGGCCACACGGCGGCTGCAGCTGCAGGAGGAGCCGCCCGGCCTCTGCACCCTTGTTTATTTGGCCTTGTCGGCCTTTGAATGTGACATGAAGTAGAGAAACTCGCAGTGGGAAGAGGGGTAAGATGGACATTCAGAGAACAAAGGCAGGAGGTTCCCCAGGGAAGGGATCCACAGCACCAGTGGGCGGTTTATCCCTGGAGGCGAGAGCGAACCTACTTCTGATAGAGCAAAGGGAAGGATGGCTGTGTTGGCCGTTAAGTCCTTCAGCGTGTGGAGAAGGGACTGAGGCAGCTTATGCAGAGGAGCCTAGATTCCCCAGGGAAGCCACGACTCCTAGAGGCAGCAACCTGCTGGTTGAGCCTGGGACTGGTGGGGGGGGGGCCTCAGCTCTTTCCTGTCTGTTTTGGCTCCATGGGTCAGACTCCTCTGACACCCTAACCAGGCCTTTTCCCGGGGCATGGCCAGAAGGAAAGGGGTCACTTTTCCATGTCTCTTGTGCCTGCTGCACGCCAGGGCCTTATGCAGACCTCAGCCCACCCTGGGCCTTTGGTAAACATGCTAGACCAGTGGTTCTCAACCTTCCTGATGCCGCGACCCTTTAATACAGCTCCTCATGTTGTGGTGACCCCCAACCATAAAATTATTTTCCTTGCTACTTCATAACTGTAATTTTGCTACTGTTATGAATCGTAATGTAAATATCTGATATGCAGGATGTATTTTCATTGTTACAAATTGAACATAATTAAAGCATAGTGATTCATCACAAAAACAATATGTAATTATAGGTGTGTTTTCCGATGGCCTTAGGCGACCCCTGTGAAAGGGTCATTCGACCGCCAAAGGGGTCTCGACCCCCAGGTTGAGAACCCCTGCCCTAGCGTCTGGGGGACACCCGCCTCCCCCAGGGCAGGAGCTGAGAGAAGAGGTGGCCAGTGGGACTGGGCAGAGTAAAAACTCAGAGAAAGGTCTAGCACAGCGGTTCTCAACCTGTGGGTCGCGACCCCTTTGGGGGTCGAACGACCCTTTCACAGGGGTCGCCTAACACCATCGGAAAACACATATATAATTACATATTGTTTTTGTGATTATATGCTTTAATTATGTTCCATTTGTTTTTTTAAAATATATTTTATTGATTTTTCACAGAGAGGAAAGGAGAGGGATAGAGAGTTAGTAACATTGATGAGAGAGAAACATCGATCAGCTGCCTCCTGCACATCTC